TTCTAAGGATTACTAATATAAACTATGCTTGAGATTAAGGCAGGAGGATTGCAAGTTCAAGCCCAGCCTGAGCAACTTAATGGTACCCTGTCTCAAAATAAGAAAAAGGGCTGAGAATGTGAAGGCCCTGATTCAACCCCTAAGACCACAGAAAGAAAAACATTCATTGATATAGTTTTTTTTTTTGTCTTTTTCATTTTTATCGGTACCAGGTATCGAACTCACGACTGCCTGCTTGCAAGGCAGGCACTTATGCCGCTGAGCTAAATCCCCAGCCCCTCATTGATATAGTTTTAATGTTGCTTCATAATGTACAGTACAACTGTTGTTTAATGAAGTACTTCTTCTTGCCTGTGGTTCATGCCTGTGATCCCAGCACTCAAGAGGCTGAGACAGGAGGATCATCATGAGTTTGAGGCCAGCCTGGGCTACATAGTGAGATCCTGTCTTAAAAAAAAAAAAAAGTATTGGGCTAGGGATTTAGCTCAGCGGCATAAGCACCTGCCTTGCAAGCAGGCAGTCCTGAGTTTGATCCCTGGTACCGATAAAAACGAAAAAGACAAAAAAAAATTTTTTTTAAAAAGTATTATTTGTTGAGTTTTGATATAGTATCAAAATAATTAGCCACAATTACCCAAAAGAGTTATTAAAATACTCTTCATTTTCCAACTATATATCTAATGAGGCTGAATTTTATTCCTATATTTTAACCAAAAGAATACATTGCAAAAAAAGAAAAAAAAGTTGGAAGGTGGGGATTTAGCTCACTGGCTTAAGTGCCTGCCTGACAAGCACAAGATGATAAATTCAATCCCTGGTACCACCAAAAAAAAAAAAAAAAAAGAATACATTGCCAACAAGTTGAATACAGGAGCACATATGAGAATCCAGCTGTCTTCTATAAAGTTGTATTGAGATTTGCCAAAATGTGAAACTAAACCATTTTTTTAACTTTAGAAAGTATTTTGTTTTCCATAAAAATGTGCTGTTGATACACAGCGAGCTTGTTTTCAAATTAATAACAAATATTTTACAAATCTATGTACCTTTTTTTAACGTGGAAACTATCAATAGGTACATGTAACATTAAACGAAAGCTTTTTGTAGATCTCAGGTTTTTCATCTGTTTGATTTTTTGTTCTTAATTCTTTGTTTTTAAGACCGGGGCCTCACCATGTTGCCCAGGCTGATCTCAAGTTCCTGAGCTCAAGTGACCCTCCCATTTCAGCCTCTAAGGAGTTGGGACTGCAGGCATGGACTACTGCACCTGACTCTACAAACCTCAAATTTTAAGAATGTGAAATAATCCTAAAATCAAAACGTTAAGAACTACTGGTACCGTTAAGCAATGCCACTGGCTGCTCAGCCAGCTTGCCTAGGAACGCCACGACGCAGTGTATGCGCTGACCTGCATAGCTCTACGGCTCGGGATCCTCGACTGCCGCTCCAACTTGTTGCTTATTACAAATCTTGAATCAACATTCACCTTCTATGATTTCGTGGACCTCTTATCCCCAATGCTATCAGGAAGCCAGTTGTGAGAGGGCTTCTTGCTGGCCTCCAGAAAACAGAGAAACTGAGGTACTCTGCGGTGCCAGTTCCCCTTTCACCAGGTATTCCTTGTTGCTTTCATCCCAGAGTATCCTCTGGGCATTCCTGCAGGACTTACATGAGTTCCTGGCCTTATACAGAACATTCACCATTGCATGCCACTCTCTGAGGTTTTTTAGTTTTAGTAGTAATGAAGATTGAACCCAGAGCCTTCACGCTGAGCTATACTCCCGGTCCTTTTTACTTTTTTTGAGACACAATCTTGCTAAATTGCTAGACAGCCCAACCTGGGTTCAAACTTTCAATTCTCCTACTTCAGTGCCTGGGATTACAGCTGTGTGTCACTAGACCTAGCTCTCTGAGCTTGGTTTTTTTGTTTTTGTTTTTTAACATTTCTTCTATTTCTGCCATGGTGATTCTGGAATTTCCATGTCACTGTCTTCTAGGATCCTTATCAGGGTATCTACAGTTAAATCTCCCTAACTGAGCTGAATGTTCAGCTCCCTAATCCCTCTCCTCTCATACCTTTGCCTAGGTTACATATCGCTCCTGGCTCTGCCAGTACACAGTGGCTACCTCTGCAGCTCCTTCAGGAAACAGCCTTCTAGGCAGGACCTGCATATCTCCAGCTGGGATTTGTGCAACTTGGCTCTCCTTATTGGTCTTATACAAGCAGAGAAAAAGTCAGCTTCCTTTGGTTTTTGAGGGGGACTCCCAGGAATAGGTGTAGCTGTGAACAGTGAATAGCCAATACTCTTGGGAGCTAGAGGAATGTGTCCTCATTCTGAGGGTGACCTGGGTGTAAGTACCCCATGCATCCACTGTAAGGTTCAGCTGCACCTTTGAGGCAGAGCAGTGTAGGGATCAAGAATCTAATGCCCTAGAGTCAGAAAGACTCAAGTTTAAATTCTATGATAACTTGAGTAAGTTCCTTCATCTTTTGAAGTAGATTCTTCTACAAAATGAGGATCAGTAGTAACTACCTGACACATTGCTGTGAGACAGTGAGCCAAGAACACAGATCTTGATAGAGTCCAAGCATGGACCAAGGGCATGGATCTTGCTGTTACAATTGGTCAGAACTTTCCAAAGGCTGAAAGGGCTGTCACAGGAAGCAGACAACACAGTTCCGCATCAGAAACAGTCATTTAGCTGACGATTCATAATGAGGTTGTGGAGGAGGCTGGAGGGAGTGCTAAGGTTGGTGGGGGTATTTACAAGGGGCCTTTTGAGCCCACTGTGTCCCTAAACTGCCTTGATTCTGATTCCTACCTACCTTTAGTGAGGAGAGGCAATTAGAGAAGCCCCTTCACTTTAACACCACTAGGGGGCCATTTACTAGCTTGCAACAGGAATACACTAATGGTTTTTTAATGGCTCAGGCACCAGGGAGATCAGGCTCAATTATATCTGAAAGCATTTTGAGTTCCAGGGGTAAAAGACACTATGTAAATCCAAATAATAAATAGGGCTCACTGATGACAAGTTAAAGAATCTGGCACTATTTAGTTTAGAAAAGAATAGGGCAAGAAGAATTGCCTGAGAGCTGCAAGTATGTTATTCTTTAGTTTAGAAAAGAGTGACAAGCTGTTTTCCCATTCTGCTAAGAACCAAGCAAGAAAAAAGTAGTTTAGTTTACAACAAGAATACAGAGAAGCAAAACAAAGTGCATTCCAGAAGAGGGATGAAAGGAAGCTATGTATTGGCCTTGCCTGGTGTCTTTAAGAATGATTCATCTTGCGTTAATTGTACGATTGATCTGCCTGTTGTCTGGAAGGCCAGAGAACAGGTGAGAGAAGAGAAGACAACTTCCAGAGGTGATTCAGGGATTTTAATTTGAGAGTTTCGTTTGATAGCCTGATCTAGGAGTAGGATGGGAAAGGATTCAGTTATTTTTCCCTATCCGCTCTTGGAAAGCAATAAACCAAACTCCCAATCTCCTTGAAATTTCTTGGAAAATGGAAAAGCAGACTTTTCCTTGAAATAGCACCCAGCCGTCCATTGTAGTGGCGAAGCCACACACCTGAGCCTCCAGCAGTCTACAACTGAAGGACTGGGTTAGAGGCCTGTGGTTGCAGCAACCCGCCGGCACACTGTGCTATGGCAGTTCTTTGCTTGTTGTGCAGCAGGGCAGTACTGTCAGGAAGCGACTTCCTAGAGGAAGAGGAAACTGCAAGTTGAAAGTTCCCGGAGGAGACAGTTTAAGAGAAAGGGAGAAGAGGCTACACACCCAAGATCAGAGCCAGGTCAGACTCACACTTGCAGGGGCTACAGAGAGGCCCTCACCAGGGCCACAGCCACACACATACACGCACACGCACATAAGCACACAGTCTCCAGATCCACCCCTGTTCCAACAGACACCAGGCAGTTCACACAGGCAATCCACACAGCCCGTTCTGGGAACACAGGAAGTAGGATTCAAGGCAGAAGGAACTAAAAATTCTGGAAAGCTTTATAGAGATGGAATGGGGAGGAGAGAAGGAAAACAAAAGAAAAAGGTGGGAGGAAGCGGGAGGCACACTGAAGCTGGGCTATGGAGAGTCCCAGTACAGAAAGAGAGGTCGTCAAGCACATAGGGGGATTTAAAGAGCAAGGGCTTGGACCCTGGCTGGGAGCCAGATAGAATAAACCTCGAGTGGAAAAGGGAGGAAGAAAAGCAGAACGATTGCCCTAGGTCTGGGGCGGGCAGAAAAAAGATCAAAGGACAAAAATTCATGGCCACCCTCCATCAGTTCAGTGCGGCCCTTTGGTCCAAATCAAGGCCAAACCCGGGAGTCGGAACAGCAAAACCGGAGCTCTAGACCAGTTGTAAACTTCGCTTGGAGAACAGCCTGCGGCTCTGTCCCGGAGGCTCAGGAGTCTGGGCGGCCTGACTACGGGGCTCCAAGAAGACAGGGAATTGGGACGATGCCAGAGAGTCCCTAAATCCAGCCTGCCCCCAGGAGGGGACCAGCTTTGAGGGCTACAGTATGCGCTCCAGGTTCCTCGGACACATCCTGGACCTGAGCCAGGAGTATGAAGGAGCTCGGCTTTAGGCACAAGCCGAGGGCACAATCGCAGCGTCACCCCCCAACTTTGGAGTGGGTGGTAAACAAGCCTGGGGGCCGAAGATCGGGCTGCGATTCCACCTGTCACTCGGCAGCCCGGGAGGAGCGGGGAGGTGCCAGAGTTGACAGTTCTGCGCTCCGCCCGCCCCTCCGGATTGTGAACTCCGCCCAGTACGCCGCCGTTCCCCTTTTAAAGAAGCGCCCGAGGCTCCGGTCCTAACCACTCCAGCCCGCAAGGGGCTGCGGCGTTGTCGCCCCTTTAAGGCCAGCCTCCCTTAACTCTCTCTCTTAACTGGGCGTCTCTGCGGGGCTCCCCGCACAGCTCTCCCGGACTTGTACATCGCCCTTTTAAGAGGCGGCCCGGGCGGCGCTCGCCCCGCCCCTCTAGCCGGCGCGCGCGGTGGGGGAGCCGGGCTGCTGCGGCTGGAGCGCGCTGTCCGCGCGGCCACTGGAGACCGGGCGGCCGGCGGCCGGGCAGGCGGCGGCTACAGCGGATGGGGACGCGGAGCCGGGCGGCTGTGGCAGCTGTGGCGGCCGCGCGGAAGCAGCTGACGGGCCGGCGGCGGCGGCGGCGCTGGCGGCGGTGACTAGCCCAGGCCCCGGCGGCGACAACGCAGCGACGCGGTGGCGGGCGGCTGGCGGGCGGCGTGAGGAGCGGCGGCGGAGCGCGGAGCCGCCGGGAACCGAGGGCGCCGGGCCGCCCCCTGTCCAGTCGTCGCAGGCCGCCAGGCCCCCTCCAGCCGGGGCCGTGGAGCACCGGGGCAAAGGCCGGGGCCCCCCCATGAAGGAGCGCGACGCGGGCCCGGCCGAGCGGGGCAAGCCGGCCACCTACACCGGGGACAAGAAGGCGAAGATGGCGGCCAAGACCAACAAGAAGTGGGTCCGGCTCGCCACCGTGTTCGCCTACGTGCTCTCCGTGTCGCTGGCCGCCATCGTGCTGGCGGTCTACTACAGCCTCATCTGGCAGCCGGTGGGCGCCGGGACCTCGGGGGGAGCCGCGGGCCCGCCTTCCGGTGGCTCCAATGCCACTGGCCCGTCTGGGACTTCGGGGGCTGCTGCCGCGGGGCCCAACAGCACCGGGTTGTCCCGCCGCGAGGCACCGCGCGATGCACCCCCGTTGCAGGCTGTGCGGCCGGAGCCCCTGGAAACCCCTGCAGACAGCCCCATGGCCGGGCCACTTGAGCGCCCCCGGGGCCCGGACGAGGACGAGGAGGAGGCAGCGGCAATGCCCCGGAGTCACTGAGTCCTTGCACCAGGGGCGGGGAACCATCCTTCCCAAGCTGGACTTTGCAGCAGGACGGGGCAGGAGTGACCCTTCCGGAGTGAACGCCCCCCCCCCCTCCAACACACACAATCCTACGATCGCCAGCTTGCCCGGAGCCAGTGGCTCATAACCGGATCTTCAGGGACCACGATTCTCTGGGAACTGGGGTTTGGTCTTCCCAGGACTGTGCCACACCAGGGCCCTGAGTCCTGAGAAGGAAGAGGGGTAGGGGATCCTAGTACTGAACCCTTCTGTTGCCGAAGCTCTGATGTTTCCTATATGCAGGGGTGACTGGGACATTTCCCCCCAAGACTCAGGGGAAGAGGGAGCTGTAGGGGCTCTTTTTTTAATAAGCTGAAGCTCTCAAAAGGAAGAGGGCACCAAAAGTAGTGGAGCTCAGGTATGTCAACCTAGTTGCAGTGGCCAGAAATGTATTTAATTTATAGATCCCTGTATATAGTTGTTGACATATGCATTAGCAGCTCTAATCACAGAACTCTTATGTATCCTCCCATACCCTGGGTAGCTACTGACTGATGGGGTCCAGCAAGGGCTATTTGTGGCCTCCAAAGAACCTAGCCAGAAGGGCACAAACATGGCTTTTTTCACCACCCTTTCTTTCTTCTGTCCCCCACCTATTTCAGAAAGAGAGGTTTATGATATTCTTACACAAGAGTATAATCATTCTTAGACTGTTGACCTGACGGTAGAAGAAGTAAGCAGTTTAGGGAGGGTGGGGAATGTACTGATCCTTCCTCTTCCTATCCCTTATACCCCCAGGAAAGTGGCTTCCTGTCCTAGCCCTGAGGGTCTGGATGTGGGCCAGGGAGGATGGAAGGGAAAGGGCAGTGCTGCTGTGCTTCAACACTTGGCCTTCCTTTCACAAAATTCTTTTAGGAAGAACAGCTTTTGTAAGTAGAGTGGCAAATGTTTTATCTTTTTTAGTCCCCTGCTCTTCAGGATCTTGTCGGATTCCAGACCTTGTCTTAATTTGTTTCTTGCTCCTCAAGATCTTGGCTTGTTCACATTTGCCTTCCTTCTTTCCTGAGCCTATAGCAACTCAGCCACTCTGCTATTAGGATGAAATCTCTTGTGAAATGAGCTTTGTGTCCTCCAGGTTTGAGTTGTACTACAGAATCAGAAAGGCTGGTAGGTGGGCTTCAAACTAAGGATTGTGCTTACTGTGCTTAAGGGTTATGATAGCCTATTAAGAGACCAGCCATGGGAAGGTTGAATTGGCTTCTTTATCTTTTCTGATAAACCTCACTTAAATGCAGCCTATAATTTTATAGAGGAGGTGACAAACATTAAGGGAAATGACATACATATGCTTTGGGGCAGCAAGAATTATACTTCCTCAGTTTGGATTGCATTTTTTTCTGCCACTTGCTTTTAGGCACTTAAGTGTGAGTAGTGACAAGATATCAAACTCTTGTGTTTCCTTTTTTGGGAAATAAGTCACTTAAAAAAAAATAAAGGGAAAACAAATGCACCTGGGTCCTGAAACAGTTTGTATTTCCAGTTTTCTGGCTTGCATTCTAGTTAGCTCCAGTTCAGATTTACAGGACAATAGCCTTGCTTTAAGCCATGTCCTGTTGTGGCCAAGAAAATAGCAACTGAGCTGTCACAGCCTACCAGCAGGCTGGTAACACCCCAAGGTCTCTGGACTTAGAGGACATTTCTTAGACTAGGATTTCAGTCATCAGGAAGCCTATGAGGCCTTTTTAAATTTTTGGTGAGAGACGGAGGGAAGAAACAAAATGCTACTTTATAACTTCAATAATAGCCTGTAATTTATATTTATTGTGTGAATTTTTAGTCCTATATTTTAATAATTTGTAAATCGATCTCTTATTCCAAGAATCCTTTGGACTTGCAGGAGAACATCTGGGAGTCCATCCCCCCACCCACCCCCGATCCCAGCTTTTTGGACTGTTTAAATCTACTTTGGGATGGATCAAAGAGCCTAGGGAGTCCACTCATGGGTCTAGCTGGCCTCCTGACTCTAAAGCCTCCACTGGAATTGGGACATTCGCTCCAGCCCTAGCTGTGAACACGACCAGAGACGTTATTTATAATTCAGCCATTCAAGATATACCTGTACTCAAAAAATCCTGTATATTTTTAAAAAGTTTTATTTTTCAGGTGAACAAAAATACATTCTAAGAACTCTGCCTAAGCCTGTGTAAGTTGATCGTTTCTCTTTTTGGCTTCGTGGGGAGGGGGCGGAGGTGCTCTGAGATCTGGTGGATGGTCAGTAATGAATAGGTCTAGGAGGAGAAAGCAGTCGCCCTACTCTTCTCAGGGCCCTGTGGCTCAACTGAATTGATGAATAAGGCTGGTAGGATCCATCTTAGCAAGCAGTCATGGGCTTGGAGAAACAGTATCTAGCTCAGCCACCTTTTGCCAACCTTGAAAAGGCTGAAGAAAGTTTTGCTTTACCAGACTCTGAGCAGATGCTGGCTGAAAGCTAGAAGAGCCAGTGCGCTTGAATCTTAAACTCTTAGTGAGCCGAGAAGCTGCCCAGTGGCAGCGCTCTTCTCCTTTTAAACCGTTTGCCCCTATTCAAAGCTTTGCCTACCACAGAACTAAGTAGATGAGAGGTGTAGGTTGCTTCAAAGGTGAAGGATTTTTCTCCCCTTAAAGCAAACAAAAAAGGCGTGGGTGAGGAGCATAAATATAAGGGATTAGTTATGCTGCAAAATATGTGGTGAGCAATTGAGCTCAGCTTATTATTAGACAATGCTGCCCAGTACAAATTCCGAGTGAGAAACCAGTGTTGGAGGGGCCCCCTGAGGCCTGCACTTCACCAGAGCTGTTGGGGGGCAGCCACTGTGCTTTCACATTACCTTGTTGTCTGCAGGGAAGGCATGGAAAAAGCCCGCCCTTCCTTTATTTCACTCTTCAGCCTACACAATAGCTTTCTGTGAAAGGGCTTGGTAAGGCAGAGCAGAGGGGAGGGCAAGTTTCCAGGCTCTCTGAGTCACCCCCTCCTTTCTATAGCCGTGACTTGTGGCTCACTACTGAACAGTTTCACACGATGGGCACAGACAGCAGTAGGTGCAGCAGGAGCCTGCTGGCCAGTGAGAATGGCCACACGGAGCAGTGGTCAGAACAGCTTTCTTTGCAAGCATTAGAAATGAGTCACAAAATGACCCATCAGGTTTTCAGCTAGGAGAGAGAGGTCTGCCCAAAAGATGCATGTTTCTGCCCTTTACACCCAGACTACCAGATATTTCCAGGTGTTTGCTTATATTAGAAGTTACTGTAAACATTCATTCCTTAACAGCCTGAATTCCGAGGAAGAGAATCCTTTTGTCAAAGTAAAGTTTTAGAAAGTAATGGGGTGAACTGAGATTATGGGGGTATCTTTTCTATCTATGGATGCTCAGATGCAAAGAAGTATGGCTCTGCAATATTTTTCTTCATAATAGAATAGATTACTACCACAGTTTCCTGGCTTTTCTGTCTACTTTGTATTTCAGTTTTCACTGGGGAAGTCTAAGAGAGTGTGTTCTATAGCTGAGTGTTTACATCCTACTTTGAAATGCTGTGTGCAGAAGTCTCCTTGTTCTAGCATGCTTCTTTTAAGGAGAACTGAAAGGTTGGTGGAAGCTTTAGGGCTACCACAGCCTTTTAAAAGGGTCAGAATTGTCCTCCCTTTTCTGTCTGCAGAGAATCAAGGTATTGCTGGAATTGTAATTCAGTAACAAAACAGTCACAGCTGTACTTTTTTTTTTCCTTTTGTTTCCGTGGGTGGAGGAAAGGACTCTAGTAGCTTTGCCCATTTCCTAGGACCCAGGCTAACTCAGTGCCTGGCATAGAGCTGTAGGTGCTATTTGTTTATCACCTACTGTGATGTTGCATGGAACGGACCCTGCTGTTGTGGTGGTGTACCTGTGACCCACAGGACCCTGCAGATTGTAGGCATAGTAATCCCTCTGGCCTCAGCTTATTTGCAAGAGGAGAGACTCACATTTAGTCTTCCTGTGCTTTCCAGGCGCCACAAGTCTGCTGCTGTGTTCCGTGTGGTATTCAGCGGACACGACACAGGCTGTGTGACCCACTCATTGTCTCCTCTGTCCCAACCCTGATGCTGAGCTACAAAAATAGCTGTTCTGTTGACAGTTTTTGGTCACATCTGTTTCACTTGCTGACATAGCCTGTGGTTTTGTGCTGCCAGAAAGCCTGTGTTATGCTTTTTCTTCCCTCCAGTGGCTAATTAAACAAACAAAAAAAAGCTTCTGTACCACACACCCAGTCTCTACCAAGCTCTCTGTCCTTGGTCAGAAACAGTCCTGGGTCCCAGTGGTCCACCAAGCACATGAGCCACTTGTCAGTGAGGGACACTCGGGCCTGGCCAGTCTCCCTGTGCCCCATTCAGTTCTAGAAACATTGGCTAAGCCACCAGAAAATGAGCAACGATCCTTGCGCTTTATAGTCATGCGCTGAAGAGTCTTCAGGTGTCCTGTTTTCTTAATATCAGTGCTGTTTTTACAATAGCTTTACAGCTAAATACTACTGAGAATTTAACTAATATCCTTAGGACTCTTTTCCAAAAACCACTACCATTCATTCAAGAACTATTTAATGCCTGCTATGTGATGAGCCTCAAAAGTCCCAAAGCAAACTTTGTCCAAGAATCAGCAATTGTGTTATTCACCAGTGATTTCCATTTAAATATTCACTTCTCTGCCCTCTCAGTGTTCATGGCCAATGTTAAAGTCTCCTGGCTTGTGTACCAGAAGCCACCTGAGCCCCTCAGCTCACTTTTGGTACCAGTTTCAAGGCACAGCAGCCCGCCCTGGAGCTGTGGAAAGTCCATGACATCACTAGGACAATGCATTGAGGAGATAGTGTGTCCTTGGAAGGGACCCTGAACTGGAAGATTGGACACCTGGCATCTCGACCATGGCACTGATTAAGGCCCTGGTCCTCTCTCTTTTCTGACAACTAATGGTACTGACTGCATAAGAGAAAATGGTGGTAGATCTTGGGAGTAAAGCACGGTGTATACACATGAAACAATATGTTTTCAAGGGTATGTCTGCCCCTCTGGTAAAGAACAGTACATGGAAAGAAACATGAAAGGGTAGTAAACATGACTCCAGCGCCCAGGCCAACAGAGTCAGCCTCACCTGGGAATCTTGCTAGAACTACATACGTCACCGTAGGCCCAATCTCAAATCAACTGAATGAACCACTCAGGAATAAAACTCGCCCTTCCATTTTCACCCGTTTTCCAGGTGATTTGTTTGGATGCACACTGAATTTGGAGAACCAGCTGACCCAGGCTTTCCTCTGATTTTGTAATGTAGGATTAGGATCTTTTTGTTTGGACAGCTGGTTATCAAGGTGACTCTTGACTCTTTTGCTTCCTTAAAGCCAGCTGCCCTGCTGGGAGTATAGGAAACGCTGTGTCCCCAGAGTCTGTACAAAAGGGAAAAAGCCTATGTTGTCCATTACTTTTGACAAGGGCAGGAAAACTTGCCCTGGAGAGCTTGTTAAGCTGGAGGCAGGCCTGAGAGCTCGCCCCTCCCTTTCCCGCAAAGGTACTGGCGCATCTGCCTCACCTCCTGCCCTGGGGCTTGCAGCTTCTCAAGCCAGTCCTTAAAAGGAGCGGTGGGTGCCACATTTGTTCTCTCTGGTGCCAGGTCTGTGCTATTTCATATTCCCGGCGGCAAGTGGATGCTTAGTGAGTGCTGACGTAGCCCCAGCAGGCTTGCTAAGAGAAAGCAGCCTTTCTGCCAGCTCCACTCTTGGCCTTCCCAGCCCTGAGCTCCCCCCTGCAGAGATGTCATGAGCACCCTGTCAGCCCTTCCTCATCAGCCCTGATAAACTCCAGCTCAAAAAGAGATGCTGGTAGCGTTGTGGACATTGATAAATGATGCAAGAAACAGAAGTGAAATAGTCTTTGCTTTTTTTTCTATTCCCTGGACTTTCTCCTTGATTTCATCCCCCAAAGAAGGTACAGCCATACGGAGGTTTTTGTCACTTTCAGGGCTGGGGGATGGGGAGACGATAGCCATCTTTACCTGTTATTTCTGTGCCTCAAGCCCAAGGTGGTCAGCTTCCAAACTTGTGCCTTGTTAGATTAGCTGGGCATACCCTGCTTCCAAGAATGCCCAGTTAGCTGTCCCTTAACCCTAGGAAAATATAGCCATGAAGCTTCTTCTGGTGGCAAAACTTAACCTAGGATGCATGGGGCAAACCCCACAAAGGGTTTGATTTCTGAGGGAAATATTAAAATAAGAGAAACTGGGTGTGAATTTGTGAGATTGCTCCTGATGTAAACAAAAGAACCACTGTGAGCCTGAGAGCCTGTGTGCAGAAATAAGGGGAAGTGATGGAGCCAGTGGGGGAGCACAAAGAATCGCCACTTTAAAAACAGGAATACTTGGTGGGGTGTTCAGCTTCACTGGAACACTTGGGGTGGGGGTAAGAGAAGCTAACTGTCCTGCAGGACTAGATAAACCTTACAAACCATCTCTCCTCCATGGAGAGTGCATCAACCACCAATGAAGATGAGGATAAAAGAGCAAAGTAGACAGAGATCACACCAAATAGCCACTTGTTTATTCAACAGATATTCTCTGAGTGCCTTCTGTGCGTCAGGTGACACACTAGAGTGTCTACTGCATGCCAGGTATATTTTGCAAATTTTCATTTTCTCTACAATTCTTCAAGGTAGAGGCCACTTTGCAAATAAGGAGACTGAGGCTTTAGAGATTAAAATTGGCCAGTCATTCAGCTGACAGATGGTAGGCCTAGGGTTCAGATTCTGTTAGATTCAATAGCTAGTGCTCGTTCCACTCTATTGTGCTGACTATAATCAAAACACATGGCTTTCTTGTGTCTGGTCTCTGTTTTTTCTGAGCCATGTGAAATGGGCCTGGGACAGAGGCCTCTGCCATTTTAGGCCTCCCATTTTGAGGTTTAGATAAAGCTATCTAGTCCCTGCTGGTTCCTACCTACTCTCCTGTCCTCTTTTTGCTCACCTCCTCTGGCCCTAGGTCTAGGTTCCTGAGAGCCAACCGTAAAGAAGACCTTTGAAGAGCAGTCTTAGCTGATGGTTGGAGATGAGAAGAGCATCCGCGAAGGCTCAGAGCCAGGAAAAGATACAAGCAGCTTATCATGATCCCAAAGTCTCTGGAGGGTGACTAGCTGTGCTTCCTCTTCACAGCTGGTTCCATCTGGAGTAGCAGGGAAGCCACCACAGGTGCTGTTTCCCTTGTTTTAGAGAAGAGCTGTCCTTTCCCAGGAAAAGCTCAAGGTTCTCTCCCTGCACTGCCATCTTCCTGCAGTGAAGACATCCTGTGCTATTCTCCCTTCTCCCAAAGCCAGAACACTCTCTCTCCTAAAAGTCTTCTAGATGCCGCCCCATGCAGAGAAGGACCATGTCCTCCGAGCCTTTCTGCTCAACTTGCCCCCCTGCTCTGCCCCTTTCAGAGGGCTCTGCCCAATTTCTCCATTCTCTCTCCATGGTCAAACATGCCTTAACCTACAGCCTCCGATGGAGGCACATCTTACAGTTGGGTTTGGCTCCCTGAGATACAACTGTGAATTTTGGAATCCAGATCCTCTCCTTTTTTGTTTTTGAGGGTGCTCAGGACCTCATGTGCTCTACCACAAAGCTACATCTCCAGTCCAGAATTCTTTTTTTTTTTTTTTTTTTTATGGTACCAGGGATTGAACTCACAACCTTTCCTTTGCCAGACGGTTACTTACGTCACTTGAGCTAAATCCCTGGCTCCAGAATTCAAATTTTTGATTGAAATCATTTTTGGAGACATCTGGATTCAAGGGCTCTGAACCTACTCCCCCATCCCTATCCTTTGGGAGTCATGAGCTCTGGGGCCTGTGCCATACTTCAAAGCTATAAACTTGTCTCTAGGTGACCAGAGAAAAGCTTGAGCTAGGAGTCTCAAGTGCATCAGATGTTTCCAAGCTTTCCCAAACTTCTGCCCAACCCCACTTCCAGAGCTTTTACACATTCACCACCTAATATCCCTGAGCAGCTTCCTGGTGCACTGCACAGAGCTGCATGCTTATCCAGACCCTCACTGCTCCAGTGGTGGAATCCAGGAACAAGCAGGAGCAGCATCGCTTTCAGGTCTCTCCAGAACCTGCCTGACTCTTGACAGGAAAGTGTGAGAAGTGTTCTCCAGTCTGGTATGCTGAATGGCCCCTTCCCTGACTAGTGGATGGGGGAAGAGACTGAGCTGCCACCCCACAGCTCTGACCTCATAGGTAACTGTAGTGACATCCTGGGGACAATCTGGATTCTCCTTAGAGTCTCAGAGGGCCTGTGAGGTCCACTCCGAGGAAGACCCATCCAGGGCCAGAGAAGAAGGGAGCAGAAAGAGCCATGTGCTGAGGTCGAGGCAAGGCCTTGGGTCACGTGAAAGAGGAGCCGCTACCTCCACCAAGCAGAGATGGCTGTTTCCCCTCTGGCTCCTGTCACTGTCCTACTCTCAGAGCTGTCAGGCGGCTGCAGCCAAGAACAGCGCCTGCTGTTCAGCCTAGAGCTGCCTATGACTGGATCTCTTCCCTCCCTCTTGTTGGCAAAGCCACCATCACCCACTGGCTTGATTACTGGTAGAGGGTGCTCAGGAAATGTTTGTTGAATTGAAAGGAAGCCACAGCTTGTGCCAAGTCTGGATAATTCACCAGACATGGGCCGGGGGTGGGGTAGGGGTGGAGACTAAGTAGAAAAGATAAGACCTGATCTCCTGCTTAGCTGGAGTCAGTGTCATCTGTCTCTTGAGTCTCTGTGTCTGATTCCTCAGTTTGGCACAGCCTTGGTGCAGGAGGTAGGGGAAGGAGGAGGAGGAGAGGAAAAGAAATTACCCTGGGCAGCAGAGCCAGGCCCTCGTCTCCCTTCTGGGTGCACATGGTCTCTGACCTGGCATGGAGGAGGAGAGTGTCTGCTGATGAGCCCTGCCACCAGCCATGGGTCCCCTCCCCAGCCTGCCCTATTTCAGAGAGGAGGCCTCTCCAAACACCTTCCTTTTGACACAGTCTCCTCTTCTATTCTGCTCCCCGCCCAGTGTCTGCCAAATGGCCCTCTGTGTCCTCTCTAGGAGTAGTAAGAGGCTGGTAGGCTTGGCCATCCTGGGAATCTGAGACTGAGTCACCTTTGTGAGAGGCAGGGGCATGGGCTGACCATGCCTGCTGTGAGCCTGCCTGGACTTGAGGAGGCAGCAACCTGCAGCTGGAGAGGGCCACATGATGGGTAGCCAGGGAAACCAGGTGCTGTGGCTACTGAGTTCTGCTCTATCACCTTGGTGGAAAAGGCTCATGACCCTGGGCAGCAGTGGGAACAGGTCAGGGAGCCAGCCTTAGATACTTGGTGTCAGCATAGGACAGGCCAGTGCCTGAGCCTGCATGTGCACAGGGGCACACAGGTGAGATGCGGGAAGGGGGCAGCCCTGTTGGGGGGTTCGCCACATTGCTCAGCCAGGCTGGCACAAGCCACCAGCAGCCACACACCCATCATACAGAGGACTCCTGACCGAGTCTCTCCTCCTCCCCACCACCACAGCTCCCAGCTCCTTTGAGCCATGCTCGGCATCTTCCCTAAGGGCCAGGCCCCCCTGTCCTGCTCCTCACACCTGTGCCTCTCACTCTTTGGCTGGTTCCTCTGGGGGGCTTGCTTCTTGGAGCCAGGCTCTGCTGAGTCCCAGATTTGCCAGCCTTGACCCCTCTGGGATTTAAGGCCCCTGCTCCTTTCTCTGGCCCAGAGAAAACCTGGACTTCTGGCCCAGACTGGCGGTCATTACCCTCCAGAGGCTGCTGCTGGGAGTTATCCGGCAGGGATACTGGGCTTTCTGGGGGCCCAGGCCCTGGACTGAGCACACATGTACTCTCTCCAGACTGGGGGCTTCTGGCTCCCCCTAGAGAGAGGTCAAGGGGAGCCAGGTCAGTGTTTCGTGGAGAGCCAGGGGATGGGCTGGCTGTCAAGTCTCCTGACTCCTCTTTTGGCCCCTCTAGCGAGGCCAGGGCTGGGCTGGTCGCCTGGTTCCCCTCCAGTCCACCCAACTCTGTGTCACTCTGCTTCTGTGCGTGCTCCTCCTTTGCCCCGGAAGGCTTTCTGGTGCTCTGGCTTCCCTGACAGGAGAGAAGACCCAGCGGGCTGATGAGTTCAGGCCTCACTGTCCCAGCCTGCCCCAGCCTCTGCCCAGAGACCCACCTCATGACTCTGTAGCTCCTCCTCATCTTCCTTTGTTTCCCACCTGCAGAATACAGAACATGAAGGCCCTTTACCTATCCACACCCCACTTTACATCACTCCCCAACCCCAAAGCTGATGGCCCATGTGCCCCAGGGAGAAGCTAAGGCCTAAGGGTCTCAGAGCAGTGTCAGAGCCAGAATAAATGAGGCTTCAGAATGCCAGCCTGACCTTATCCCCCAAATCCAGCCATTTCCTCTGAATGCCACCTGCCTTGGCCCCATCTTGTGTCCCCAGCTGCTGTTTATGGCCAAACCTGCTACACCATGGGCTCGGTGGGGATTCTAGGCATGTCCTTGCCTGTGCTGCCTGGAAAGGAGCACCTCATGGCCCAAGGGAAGGGAGCTGCTGTAATTATGTGGCCTCCCTGGGCACCAGGCTCCTGGCTGCTGCCTCTGCTGGCCTCTCCTGGCATCTCATTAACCTGCACCAGGCAGCAGCCAGTCAGGAGCTGGGGTCCCTGGGGATGGGGCAGGCATCTGTACCAGGGCATCCAGGAAATCAGGATGCCTAGATGCCTGCCTTCATTTTGTCCTCTGCTACTTGTTACCTTCGGGCTCTGCCAGTCAGCCTCTCCTTCCCCTGGGGTTTGCTGCCTGGGGCCGGCACCACTGAAGGTCTGCCAGGCTGTCCACCCCGACCTGTAAGACATGGTCCACAAAGCAAGAAGAGGGCATAGCAGCACAAACTTTCACCAGCCAATGGCACCCTGCTAGTCCAACTCACCTTTTCCATCAGGGGACAACAGTGGGGTCTGTAGCTTTCGTTGACACTTAAAACCTAACAAGGAACAATGGAAATGGGGGGAAAGTTTGGCAACAGAGTATCCAGAACAGTAACACCCATTCTTCTAGCACCAGGAAGCTATCATTCCTGATCCACTTATGGGTTCTCTGCCTCCTCAAAAGAGCTTTAGTCTGGAGACCTGTGTGTAGTTTGCCAGTACCTGACTGGGTGACTTGACCAGCCAGTTGGGCAGGCCTCAGATTTCTTGTACATAGAATGAGAGGGCCAGAAAGCCACAGGGCTGCTCCTGTAGTAGGCCAGGGCCACAAGGTATTTAACTTGATAGGAAGCAGCTGCTGGAAAGAGCCCAGACCAGCTTCCTGGGGTCTGCTGGGGCCAGCACCTGGCAAGAGCTGTGGACTTAGAGGACAGGAGGGGAGAGCTGACAGTGTAGGAGAAGGAGGAAGTGAAGGAAGATGTTTTCCCAGGCTTCCTTTCAGCTCTTAAAAGATGAGGGAAATCAAAAGACAGAGAACGAGGTGAGGGTGAAAGAAGCCAAGGTACAGAGGATGAAGTGGGCATGGGCTCACCCTTTCTGCTGCCCACCCTAGCTGGACCCTCATGCCAAGGCTTGCTGCAGTCCTGTAGCCTGTGTAGACAGAGGAGGGAGTTAGGTGCTGGTGAGAGCAGGCCCCACACTGACACTCCCTCCCCTTCAGCCCCAGAGCTAAGGACAGCAGGGATACAGTGGGCCCAAGAAAGAGGGGATCCAGCAGTCACACAAAGCCCCGCGCCCAGACCTAACCAGAGGTCCTAGGAAGGTCCTCACACCTGAAACAACGCCAACATTGAGCCCTACCCAGTTCCACAAGCAACCTGCTCAGCCCTGCCACCCACGTGGGCTTGGCCTTGTCCAGGTCCCACGGGCGGCGCCAGTCACCCTGTGCATCTCTGTGCCGGGCGAGGCGGGCCAGGTCAATCTGCTCCCGCTCCTGCTTCCATTGGGCATAGTCCCAGCCCATGGTCTCCGGGGCCTCCCCCACTGGCCACTGGGGTTCTGGGCCTGAGACCACGCCTGGACTCCGGGGTTCCCGAGCACCCTGCAAGAAGAAGACACTCAATGCCATGGGGACAAAGGCAGGACAAGGACTGGAGACCCAGAGATTCTCCTTCCTGACCTTCTCTTTCTCCGGGTTCTGTGTCCCAGCTAAAAATGAAGTCTGTTCCATCTCCAAGGGTCTCTCTGTTTGCCACAGGCAGTTTCCAACCACTTGCTACCTATGTGTTTGGGACGAGTAACTTAACCTCTCTGTGTATCATTTCCTCATCTGCAGATTGAAGCTGGTACCACTGCCCCCAGAGAGTCGCTGCAGGTATTTAGGCCAACCTAAGGTGGGAGGGCCACCCAGGCTGAGGGTGAGAGCAAGGACTAGGGGGCTGCTGCCACCTAGAGGTCACATCTGGCACAAGGCCAGTCTCCTACACCATTCCTGCACCCCATCAGGTGGGTTGAGACAGTAGAGGGCTAGGTCACTTCTCTGGCTTAAACTATATTTCCCTACAAGACCCACCCAAAGTGGAGCATGCAAAGAACAGAAGAAGGGTGGGATTCTCCCGGAGGCTGCCTCTGTCCTGTCCCTGCATATGAGCATTATAGCTCAGCTGGCTTCTCTGCTTCCTGAAATGGGGCTGCCACATTCATGTCCCCATCCCTTTAGGAAGATGTACCTTCCAACCAGAATCTGAGCTGACGGTCTTGTGCATGGGGGGGCTCTGGGCCCAGCCTCCTCCAGGTGACCCATCTGCACCCTGGCTCCTTGGTCTAGTGGGCTTCTCACTCACGATCCGTTTCGCCTGGGGAAGGTAAAGATGGGCGGTGTGACAGAGCCCAGGGAAAAGGGATGCCCATTAGGACTTGGATGATCCCAACCCTGCTCACCTTGGCTTTGTTTTCCATGGTCACAGCCAGTTCCACTCGCCTCCCCAAGCAGAAAGTACCCCCGTGGTCCTCTCCATCCTCACCTTCAGGTACCTCATTAGCCACTCCAGGTCCAGGGCGGCTCCTTATCCAGTTCCTGCTGACGACCCGTTTCTCCTACCATATGAGACGCCCATACTCTCAGGACATGTGGCCATGCGGGACAGACCTGGTATGGGGTCCACTGGACAGGTCCCCAGACCTAGGTTCCAGCCAGATACTCCCTGGGATACCCTCAGAGAAACTGGTAGTTAACATGCCAATGGCATTAGGTAAGCCAGAGCCAGGGCCACTCGGAGCCAGAATGCCACAGTGGCTAGTCATCTTGAGTTGAGAACTCCAGGGCACCCAGACACTGGGGCTTTGTCACTCAGATTCTGCTCCTGGCCTTCAGCCCTGACTTCTCTGTCCACCACTTTCTGAGGGGTTTTTGGTCCCTGGGGTCTGGAGTTAGGAGCAGTCTGCACTTTAGGGCATAGGTGCAGGCTGCCAGGCTAGGAAATGGGACAAGGAGGCTTCTATTCAGTGACCTTTCGGTTGTGGCCCTTTGAGGGGACAAGTGGCTGGGGCGTGAGGCTGAGAGCTTATAGGTCCGCCCTAGAACAGGGAGTGAGAGAAGGGGCAAGGAACAGGTGTCCTCCCTGGCATGGGCTGGGCCCCCATCCTGCCACCCTGCCCTCTCTCCAAGGTGAGACTTACACCAGGAACCTGGCTGATGGTGACAGTGAGGCTGTCTGGCAGGAGGAGTTCTGGCGCAGTCACAGCCATGCCGCCCTGCTCTGCCTGCCGACGGTCTTCTTGGATCTCCTGTGTGAGGGCCTGGGGTCAGCACAGGCCACAGCTGGCCAGACACACAGACATAGACGCTGACAGCCTACACAGAGACAGCAGTGGCTCCCCGGGACAAGTGCCTGAGACCCCTAGCAAGCCTCTAAGAAGGAGTCATGCTGTCCCAACCTGGACCCTGGCCGAGATGTATCCCATTGGGCAGGCATCTGCAGGTCAGGTGGGGTCACCCATCAGCCTGCACTCCATGGCGCCCAGCCACTCACCTGGTACCTGCGCAGCAAGGCCTGGTTCTTCTTGCGCAGAGCAATTATCCTGCGGTCCAGTTCTGCATCCTTCTCCTCCTGCCTGCTCATCAGGGACTCAGCTCTATGAGGCCCCTACAGAGGGCAGGGGGGACCCCAAGCTCCTGACTGCCACCCGCTTCCCAGTCCCCCAACTTTCCCACCCAGGCTAATTCTTACCATCCAAGGGACTGGTCCCAGACTCACAGGAAGGTCACACAGAAGAGAAGCAAATTGCTTGGGAGATGGCTCAGAGAAGTCTCGGGGCCCCTATCCCTAACAAACTGATCTGCAGGTCTCTCTGTCTCCCAAGGCTTCGGGTCAGGGCCTCCTACCCAGGGCCACTGCTTCCAGCAGCCAGCTGCCCCTCCCCCCGCTCTCCAGGGAGCCCCACTGAGAGCAGAGCCTGGAATGGGAGTTATAAATGGCTCTGGCAGCAGAACCTGCCGTGACTGGGAAACTGCCAGGGGATTCAGGAGGTCGAGGGGAAGCTGTTTGGCTCCCAAACCCAGAACTATAGGAAAAAAAAGAGGCTTCAATTGGGTCTTGGGCTCTCAAGCCTGGACCCCACTCCCTGGCCTGTGTCTGGCCTGTAGGAAAGAGCCACTCCCATGGGCCCAGCCCTCCCAGCTGACAGAAGGCACAACAGGCAGCTCTGTCACTTGGGGAGCCACCCTGGGCAAGACGAGTGTCGGCATCTAGTTCCCAGTGCTCCCCCGACTGATTGTGGGGTCTCCATTGTGCCAATCAGTCCAGCCTTCCACCTGCCTCGTCACAAACCTCTTCTTCCTGGCCCAGCTGTCCCCAGCTGCCCCCAGACTGTGACTGCTCAGTACCTCAGCCCTCTCCCAGCCCCAAGAAGCCCCCCCCCCCAACAAAGGTGAGGTGCCACTCACAGCTGGGTACATGGCAACAGCAGAACAGCAGGCACCGAGAGAATTCCAGAGCAGGCCACGGCAGGAGGGAAGCCGGAGCCACCGGAGCCGGGCCTCTGCTGGCCTCTCCCTGCCAGCTTCGCTGCTCAGCACACGAGATCATGTTGTGATTACAAAAGCCTCCTCTGGGCTGCCAGCCAGGAACGCTGTGTCGCCACCCCCACTCTTCCACTCACAGAGGGCGAGGACCAGGGCACCGGCAGCCAGCTGGTCCTGCCCTGCCCAGTTTCCCCGGGGACTTCTCCCTTTTGGGTCAAGCCCACACAGGAGGCTTGGCTGCCCTGGTCCTGCTGAAGGTCTGTGTACAGCAGGACCTCTGCCTGGGGCTGCCTGCCCATTGTCTCTGGCCCCCTCATCAGGCCCCAGGGTCTGAAGTCCCACTTCAGGTGGCCTCCCTGTCTACCTGGTTCTACCAGCATTGGTTTAAGGCAATCGGGTTCTAAAAGCTCACCTCCAGCCACAGTACACTCCCTCATACCTAAAATACTGTGCTAGTCACAAGCACTGTCTTTGCATCTCCCAGCACAGCCATTCAGTCTGGTTTCTGGCCCTGCATATGAGGCCTCCCTCCAGGGTCTGTAGCATCAGCTCAGAGCTACCGACAACCTTCCTCCCATAGGCTCCAGTCAGGCTCTTCCTGGTCTTGTTCTTCCCTTCTGGCCTCTGGCCCAGAGGAAAGATGCCATCCTTCTCGGGAAAGCCCCTCCCAAATCATCCTGGCATAGCTGAGGCTGGTGGTCTTGCCCTGCCCAGCCAGTCCCATCCTGGGGCCTCTCAGGCCCAACTTGGGGAACCAAAAAGCATAGTGTGCTCTCCACTGGGGAACCTGGGGTCTGCTTCTGTAGTTACGAGGCCTAAACCTCTGGCCCTGAAGCGTCAGGAGCCTGGCATTCCCCACGTCCCTGCCGACCAGGCCTCAGTTCTCACATCCCCTCTGAAGCAGAAAGCCCCTCTGCCACTCTGCCTTTCCAATCAACCCAGCAGCCAGAAGCCCAATCTGTGTTCCTCTTTTTCCTCCCCAACCTCCCCTGCTCCCCACTCCCCACTCCACTGCACCGAGCTTAGCCCTTTCTTCTCTCCAGGCCTTCACCCGGCCCCACACCCCATCCCTGCAGCGCCAGAGTTCCCATCCTGCTGGAAATGCCACCGTTCTCTCTCCTCCTTTCCTGCCGGATGTTCCCACTGAGTCACACTCATCTCCTTTCACAGCAACAGTGACGCACCCAGGCTCCTCATCCTGGGACACACACACACACACACACACACACACACACACACACGCACACACACATCCTCTCTTTCTTACACGCACACATCCTCTTTCTTACACACACGCATTTGCACGCACACTTCTCCCTCCCTCTCAGCATCCTGACCCACACAGGCTGCTAACTTCCAGCATCAAAAGCCTCAGAATTTCCAGGAGCCTCAAACTCCCCATCCTGCTGGAGCAGGTGGGTCCCTGAGCCCTGGCTTGGGAGAGAGACTAACACTGCTTACAGAGAGACAAAGAGCGAGACTAAAGAGCGAGATTAAAGCTGACCTCAGGTTCCAGTCAGGCCTGGGGAAGAGAGATGTACATAGAGGAGGCTTCAGAGAAGAGGCAAGGTTTTTATCCCCATTCCTAGCCAGGGTGGGGACAAGGGAGCAGCAAGTACCTGCAGAAATCCAGCCATCCTGCAGGGAAGAGACCTAGCTCTTCTAGAAGCATCTGCAGGGAGAAATGCCCCAAACCTAGAGGCAAAGGTTTCCTAGCCCCTCAGGCTGGAGGCCCACATGCCCAGGAGCCCACAGGGACCTGCAGTGGCTGGCCATATGCCTCCAAGTGTTACTCACACAATATGTTGTGTCTCTGAGCAGCCCCCATGTCTCCCACCTTCTGCAGAACCTGAAGTTCACCTATCTGCCTACAGATAGGCAGGAGCTTCCCAGGGAAAGAATTGAGTGCCTCAGGATTAAGTGCTTCAGGGTCCCCAGGGCCTGGCATAGTGACCTTTGTAGGCTGGGGAGGCTCCATCTGTGCCTGCAGAAGGGATCTGGAATCCATGGATATTGAGCACATCCTGTGCCTGTCTTCCTGCAAGAATTCACTCAGGCCTGAGCGACCTGGTGCATGGTAAAGGCCTCTAAGAGTGTTCTCTCCCTGCTCTGGGGAAAAATCCACAGGAAGCAGGAGGAGGAGACAGAAGGATGGCGACAAGGGTGATATTCCCGAGACCCCTGTGCTGTTACAGCATGGGTCCACCAGAGGGCAGCAGTGTCACAGAGCTTGGTTTGAGTTCGGCAAACGTCCCCTTTTTCCTCTCTAGCACCTCCCAAGTCTAAGTCACCCTCATCTTCAAACTCTGTCAGATTGGAGAAGCCTTCTTTAGTTGATGAGGAAACGGCCCAGAAGGGTGGCACCTTCTTTCTGGGAGGCACAGCTCTGGGTGTTGCAAATGAGACCAGAATCCAGGCCATCCCTCTCCGTGTCACCTCTGCACAGGCTTCACTTTGTGCAACCCTCTTCCAGGCTTGGGTTGGGCCGCTTGTCCTAGCATCTCAAGGGAGGGGCCTGGGTTAGGTTCTTCCCTCCCCAGGCCACCTGCCAGCTCAGGCAACAGCCCCACCCTGGGGTGGAAGGCATCTGGACCTCATCAGTGCTGTTTCAGAGAGACCTGGAGCCAATCTTGAGGACAGTGTGGCTTCAAACAGGCTTCTGAGCAGCAGAGGGGAGGGAGGATGAGCGAAGGGGTACAGGTGGACAGGCCTGGCAGAGGCTTCATCCAGGGCCAGTACCACTCAGTCACCTTCTGCAGCGTGGCTGAGCCCTGCTCCTCAGCCTTGTCCAGTGATGAGATGAGGCAAGGTAGTGGGCTCTAAACCCTTCCTTCCCTATTGGTCATGATTTTCAACTCTTGATCCTTCTTTGTAAAAGAGGTGCACAGCCCACTGGGTCATTTGGCAATAACATTAACAATCATATCTGGAACAGAGGGTGCCGGATGGTGGCGCACGCCTGTAATCCCAGCACTCAGGAGGCTGAGGCAGGATGATCATGAGTTTGGAGCCTCTACATAGCCTGGCTCCAAAACGAAGTGTGGCTCAGATTAAGGCTTTCAACAGGTGTTTTTAAATTTTTTTCTCGGGCAACTTCATGATAGTCACCTCCTGAGCATTCTCTGAGGGGTCCCTTTGACGGCTCAGGGTTGCACAAGCACATCAAAGACTCCTGGGTTACACGGACCACCTGTGCCCTGGTGTGGGAGGTCCTGAGGCACAGCTCAGCATCCTCTCTGTGACTCCCTTCAGTATCCTGCCTGGCAGATTCTACAAGGCCAGATCCTGCACCATCCCCTCCAAGAAGACCTCCCTTCTTGATCCCTTCCCTGTGCCCTGTCCTTGCTCAGGTCCTGTGTGTCACCTACCTTTGGCTTCACCAGGCTGCCCCAAGCCCACGTCCTAGTGGTCAAATCTTGGAAGTCACTTGTGTCACTTGCCTGCTCTAGGTGGATGAGTACTGAGAAAGAAGATGGACAAGGCTAGCTGTGTGACCACCCACTGCTGGCCAGGCCATCCTCACATGGGAGAAGCAATAGAGTGGCTTGTGCACAGCATTCCTTCCCTATACACCCTCCTGTGCCCCACTATGGACATTCTTTCATTTATTTTGTCTTTCTTTTGTCTTTTTGAGACAAGGTCTCCCTATACAGTTCACACTGTCCTTTGATAGGATTATTTCCAAAAGATGAAAAATATTTCCGAAAGATGAGAAGTATAAAACAAAAAGCAGCCTTTATTCTGAGAACACGGAGAAAGATGACCTGCACCGCCCAACGCTGGAGTCCGGCGATCTCTCCGTGGAACACGTGGTGTATGTAAGTAGCCTCGGTTTGGGGTGGAACCTAAGGGACCATCTGGGATGCAAGGGTAGCCCATTGGTCCTAGGTTTGGCACCATAGGTAAATTGCCAGGGGCGGGAAGATGGCATCACAGGTAAATTCCTAGGGGTCGGGGAGATAGGGACTTCCTGCTTCCGGTTGAGGCTTTCCTGTCTGGGCCAAAACCCTTTCATCCTTGAGCTCACTTTGTAGCCAGAGTGGCTTGAACTCACAATAATCCTCCTGCCTCAGCCTCCTGAGTACTGGGATTACAGGCATGAGCCACCACAGCCAGCTCTCTCTCTTTCTTTTTTTTTTTTTTTCTAGACAGGATTTTGCAATGTAGTTCAGGCTGGTTTGATTTCACTATGTACCCCAGGCTGGCCTTGGATTTGGCAATCATCATCCTGCCTCAGCCTCCTGAGTGCTGGGATTAGAGGGCTGCACTAGCACGCCCAGCGACTTTCTTATCTTTACGACCAAAAGTCTGTCAGGCCAGGCCTGGCACTGGGTAGGGAGATTTGCATGCATAAAATGCGGTAAAACTTCCAGGACAAAGTCTGGGCCTTGCCTTCTAAGAACACACGTATCAGACTAGGGTGACATCTGTGACCAGGTAGTAGACAGGACCCACCCAAGCCACGGCACTGTGTGTTCCCCAGCCTGGCACAGCAAAGGGAGGACAACTGAACCCCCGGGGTCTCAATGCTTAGGCCTCTACTCTCCATAGTGGGTGCAAAGGGAACTCACAGTGCTTTCCAGAACTTTGACCTCAACTCCAGCCCAGAGCCGCCCCAGGCAGAGGCTGAATGCTGCCCCTTCAAGACTTGCCCTTGAGTGCTAGGAGGGGAGAGCCTAGTGCTAGAAAGCCCGTGGCGTGTGCCCTGTGGCCATGTGGAAGACAGCTGAGCAGGCAGAGGCAGGGAAGTGTTGAGGGCTTGACCTACAAGGGTCATCAGGTCCAGGAGGTACAGACGTGACCGGGGAGTCATTTAAGATACACTGAGGGGTGAAGGGGTGGTGGTGGTTGGGGGAGGAGCTGGGGTTCAACAGCTAGGGCTGATGAAGCCACAAGGCAGTTTCAGAACCTGAAGCCAGAAAGGTTACACTGGGTTGGCTAGAGGACAGCTGGAGGTACCTAGGAACCTATATACAGACGCTGGAGGAGTCTCCTGGCCAGGCAGTGGGGGCCAGGGGAGGAGTGAGCAGGGGCCCTCAGAGCCTCAGTAAGGCTGCACTTGGGCACAGAAGCAAGGTAGAGGCAAGGCTTTGGCTGGGGGTCCTCATGGAAGCAGGGGCCAGTAGCCCTGGCTTGTGTGTTCCCAGGGCTCTCCTGCCTCCAGAGGAAGGGAGACATCAGGGACGGCCGAGGCTAGAAGGCCAGCTAGGGATGGACAGACTCTTCCTCCTCACTAAGACTTGTCCAGGGCAGAAAGGTCTGTACAGTTTTGAGGGGTGGGAAAAGGCAGGAAGCCCACCGGAAGCCTGAGGCCTGTGTGTGAGAGGCTGGGGGGGAGTGCAGTCAGCTGGCTACGGTTGGGGCTTTCCCCTGGCCTGGAGACTCTAGGCAAGAGAAGGAATGTGCCAGAATACCAAGCCCGTGATGGCATGGTCACTGTGGCAGCCATGGGAGAGAGGACGCAGCCTGAGGGCAGGGAGGGGAGTAGAATAACCAGTTATCCTAGTAGGCAAAGAACTGTTCCCATTTTGGCACCGGAAGGCCAGCACTGGGAGTGTATCTTGGTCCTGGGGACAGCTGGAAGCTCTGGGGCGAGAGTGTTCTGGGAGACTGTGGCTGGAGAACACCTCTCAGGTGCTGCCATGAAATGCTGTGAGGGACGGCAGAAGCCAAGGCTGGTGATAGTTCTAGGTGCACAGGAAGGAAGAATGGGGTAGAAAGTCACATAGTCCATTGATGCTTACGTGACAGCAGGATGCTTGCAGTTACAGCCACCCCCACAAGGTCCTAATCCCATGATGTCTTTTGATCACTTGAGGCTCTGGAATCTGTGACTTAGCCAGAGTAGGGGCTGTTGGCTCCTTGGTGGGGATTAGGGTTTGTGAATCGCCCAAGGTTCCTGGGGGTGTGGCCCTGCACACTACACCCAAATCACAGGAGCCAATGGCCCGGCCCCGCAGCACTGTCTCCTGCCACACCCCTGTCTCCTGCCACACCCAGGCTAGGTACCTTTGCCCTCATGCAATGATAAACCTGCCCACCAAACCAGGACAAGCCTCCTGAATGCCAGCCTCCTGCCCAGCCTTCCCTCCTCCGCAGGGAAGCCCAGAAGATAGGCAACCTTGCTGGTTCTGCAGAAAAGCACCGGGAGTCACAGGGAGGGTCAATGTCCTGCCTTTAGGCCTTCACTCCCAAAGATCCCCACCCATGACCTCCCCTGCCCCAGGACCCTCCCTTTAGCCTCTTCCTGTCCACACGCCCATCCCAGATCCTCACCCTGGAAATGGGTCCTCTGGTTCCTAAGTCCCTTTTTTGTCTGTTTTGTGGCTTTCAGGCAGGCAGGTGCCACCTCTCAGCCAGGGTAGACCCAACACTTGGTGAGTGCTTACGCCTTGTAAGTCCCAGGGCTGGAAGGTAGAGGACACACACACGGCTGAGGCGCTGCTGGCCTGAAAACCTTAGGGCTGGAGAGGAGAAAGAGGCCCTGAATGTACCACCCAGATCCTACTGTAGGTGCAGTCCACTGTGCCCACCACTGCTATCCTCCTTGCCTCCTGCTTCTTCATGCCTCTCAAACCACCCTGCTTTCTCTGTCCACACAGTCGGGACAGAATCTGCCTCCTCTACCGAAGACATTAGTGCTCTGTGCAGCGACCCAGACCAGCAGCTCAGACCCTGATCCAGAGACAAGAACCGAGTTGTCAACTAGAACCCAGAGCACTGCCCCCATCCACTTGGGCACCAATAGGTCTCAGGCCTTGCTTTTCAGTGTCCTGCCGAGGTTGGGGTAGGGGTGGGAAGGTTGAGGCGCTGGGGAAAGGGTTCTTGTGGGAAGAGAGCTGGTAATATCAGGGTGTGGATGGACATGGGAATTGCCATCCACCCTTCGTGAGCTGGAGCCCAGGAGCACCACACCCTTGTAAACCTGCCCCTCCCAGCAGCTGCCTGCCCCTCTGCGGAATCCCACCAGCATGGCAACTGCTGCGTGCAGAACAGAGCAATAGCTCCCCGCCTAGTCATAAACCAAAGTGCTAAAAAATAAAAATTAAAAAACCAAAGTGCTCTGTCCACCGCCTAGGATGTTACCACGGCAGGCTGGTGTTTTTCAGAACAACATTCCTAAAAGGGGAGTGACCTAGCATAAATGAAAGAGAGCCCAGTCTCTCTACTCAGAGTCCCCAGAATGGCATTTGGTGGGGAGGCTCAGGGAAGTTTCTAATGTCTCTGTTCTGTTTTGTTTTGTTTTTAATCTGCCAAAGAGGAAAAGATTATAGCACCTCCAAGAGCTGAACCAAGGTCAGCAATACTATAGAAGAGCCTGACACACACAGGCTTTCCCTGCACCTGATAAGGAAAGAGGAATCACTCTACTCCACTCCATTTTTCAAGTTGTTTTCCAAAAACAGTTATGATGTTTTTGATTTTACAGCTCTAATTGAGGGCAAATGGATGTGCTATAAACTGTGCATATTTAAATTTAAATTTAAATTGCAGCTGTAACCCCAGCACTCTGTGAGGCACAAACTGGAAGATCACAAATTTGAACCCAATCTGGACAATTTAGCAACTTAGTGAAACTCTGTTTCTGAATAAAAAATACAAAAAGTCTGAGGATATAGCTCAGTCACAAAGCCTTAGGCTCAGTCCCGGAACCACAAAAATAAACAAACAAAATGCGCAGCTTAATGTTTTGCCATACGTGTGCTCCATAAAACCCTCATCACAGTCTAGATCAGCTCCAAAATGTCTCTGTCTACCTTCCCAGTGTCTCCTCCCATTCCCTCACTTTCCATCTTCTTCCCAGGCAAATACCTATCTGAGGTCATTATTAATGAGTTTACATTTTCTAGACTTTCCTAGAGAAGGAAGTATACTGTATGTATTCTTTGTGTTTGGCTTATTCCATCTAGTATAGTTATTCTGCAATTCAGTCACATTTTGTTCCTTCCTATTATTGGATAGCATTCCACTGAATACATAGATCACACGTATGTAGTGTTTATTCATTCACTTAGTGGTGAACATTTGAGAAACTGCCATTAGCTAGTCTAAAACCTACTGTAGCACTCAGTACAATTCTTTGTGAGGACTATGTTTTCATCTCTGTTGAGTATGCAGCACGTATCACTTTTTCTTTTTTGAAGCCCTGGGATGGGGTGGGGGGGAGTGGTTCGAACCCAATGTTTGCACATGCTGGGAAAGCACTCTACCACTGAGCTACATCCCCAACTCCGTTACTTTTTAAGAAATGGATGGACCACAGTTCAAGTACAGTCACTTAGAGAAGCTCTTAACAGGCAGACCTGGAAAGAATGGCAGCCTTTACTTTCCAGCTCCTGATTTTACATGGCTCCCATCCTCTTTGATTGAAAGGGTCCAACCAAGCCCTTTTGCTCCACTGAGGACAAAGCCTTTGACTTCTTCAGTTTTGCACAGCATTGTAGGGCCAGGGAAGGCCGCTTCCTTCTAAATACATAAACAAAAGAGAAAAAATAAACACAATTATAAATCACAGAGAAGGAAGCCAGTTAGTACCCAACCATACTAATTGCAGCCCTTCATTCACTCACCAAATATTTTTTGAGCACCTGCTAATTTCAGAAAAATTCCAAAGGGACAGTCCCTGGGAATACAAAAGATCAGTCCCCAAGGGGGGCACCACAGTCCATTTGAGGATCCCCAGAGGCCATGAGAGCAACATACCTTAGAAGAAAGGATCCAGGGAGCTAAGGAGCTTGTCACAGGGCCCCTGCTCTGTGTGTCAAAGGACACTGAACCAGGGCTGCAACCCAGCAGATCAAGGGGCTTGAGAGTGCTGAGAAAGCTAGTGGTCTGGGTTCCCACGTCCTGGGTCCTTTCCCCATCATCAGGGTCCCATCCCGAGTCTCCATTTCCATGAGATTTCCATTCCCAGGCTAGCTCCCTGGGCTGGGCAGCATCTTTGAGCACTCAGGCCTGGCCTAAATCAAGGCAAGGAGCATACCAGGTCTTCCTGTAGAATCTTTTTCTCAATCCTTACTCATCTGAGGGAGCCACTGGCTTAACTACTGTGTATAAAGGATTCGTGTAGGCCCTGACACTTAGGGAGCTCCATAAATGTTTAAAACCAGCCCCCGGTGCTGAACACCTTCACCAGGGCTGGGAGCCCCCAGTTTGGGTCCATGCCATCTCATTACCAGACCAATGTGGTAATGGATTGCTCCTCCCTGTTTGCTATAGAGACACAACACATCCTGTTTCTAGTTGATCTTTGCCCAGATGATACTGATAAGCCCATCCCTCCCCTTTCCCCTGCTCCCACTATCCTGGCAGTATATCTGACTCACCCTGGCCCCTCATCCTGTACAAATACACCCGAGGACACACAGAGCCTCAGCCGTTCCGTCCCTGCCCTGCACTCTCAGGTAAGGCCCTGGCTCAGCTTGGGAGAAAGAGGATCTCTGTGAGAATGTATTGGGGGGGGGGGTTGTGGTCACTCTGAATGTGTGCGTGTGTGTATATGACACTGGTACATTGAGGGTCTGTCTCGCAGGGGTGTCAAGTATTGCTTAGTGAGTGTGTGAGGGCCATGTGGCTGTGTTTCTGGGCTCACGTCTTCCCAGCTGCCCTGTCCAACTCCTGTGCTGAGACCCTGTATCTCCATTCTCTACTTAAATTACAGTAGACTTCCAGCCTCTGCCGCGCCAGGTAGAGTGATGACTGTATGACTGCATTCTCTCCCTTCCAGAGTTGCCAACTTTGGTCCCCCCACAAAGGCTGGGCCTGAATTGGGAAAACATATTCCAAGCCTTTCTTCTAACGTGTACTTGACCGGCCCTAAGGTTTTCTTTACCTCTCCCTCCTTCCAGTCCAGCCTAATGGTCTCTTCCATATAACTAAGGGGAAGGATGAAGGAACAATAAACAGCATAGGCCTACTCCAGAGACTTGCTCAAACTGAATGTTTGTGGCACAAGCAGGAGCTTATAAAGGAGCACTCAGTGGGGCAGAGATGAAGCTCAGGGTAGTGCCCGCTTTATGTATGCAAGGCCCTGTGTCCCACCTCCAGCACCAAGAAAAAAAAATTGAAAGAAAAAGAGTGTGTCAAGAGGTGCAGGGGACTAGCTTTTCTATCTATAAGGGACCATGGCTTTTGTCATACTGGAGTGTGAGCTCAGGTGCTCAGAAACCATGGGTACCAGAGGGCCCTGCTGCCAAGTTTTGGTCCTTTGGTACTGTCTGCTTTGGAACCACTTTGGGGTTGTCTGTTGTGGCTTGTGTACCAGTCCAAATAAGAAGTGACTGGGCCTCAGCAGCAACATCTGATGAGAATGCTGGTGAATGACAAATTGACTCAGGCCACAAATTGACAAATTGACTCCTACCCTCTCCTGACCTGGGTGGGAGGGGACAGTAACAGGCAGTTCCAATCCCAGAGGGCTTTCTATTCACTTCTACTGCAGGGCCAAAGACATGGGTCTCCTGGATGCCACAGAAGCCCCTTCCCATCAACCCCTACTGCTCTTCCTCGCTCTTGATGTACACTCTATCTCTCCAAGCCTCCCTCTCCCACTCCTCTGCCAGGTGTTAACACAGGGACCTCTAGGGAAAGGGGACCATGACCTGGCACATGACAGGCACACAACATGAATAATGAATATGATTGAAATTGATACCCATGGAATTAACAAATTCACAAGTGAATCTGGGGGTAGGGTGGTTGTAAAGGACCCAAGGTTTAGGGTGATACCAAAGGCCAATACAGTTCTTGTCTCTGTTCTCTCCCTATGTGTGTGAAACCCTGGTACCTTTTTTTTTTTTTTTTTTTTTTTTTTGGTCTTTTTTTTGAGACGGGGTCTCACTATGCAGTTCAGGCTGGACTGGTCTCGAACTTGCAATGATCCTCTCACCTCAACCTTCCAAGTGCTGGGATTACAGGCATGAGCCATCACGCCCGGCTCCCTGGTACCCATTTAACACTTGTGCCAGCACCCAGAGCGCCAGTTCCACACTAGATGCCAACCTAGACAATCTGAGCACATGCACCCTTTGAAGGGGTCGTGTGTGTGCATCCCCGGAAGGGAACAAGGAAGGAGACAATGAGATCACCCGAAACTAAAACTCTTTTAAATCACAGGTGTTTCCGTGTCACTTCTCGCTCCTGCCCCACAAAGATGGATCCAGGTAAGCAGTATGGCTGGGAGGCTCTGGACGAGAGAAGGAAGAACGGTGAAGGCACAGGCAGCTAGTCTGCCATAGCCACTGTACGCCAAGGACATGGGCGTCCAGGGTATGGGCGTGGCAGGAGGGCTCTGTGATATACACAAGCCCTTACGCCCCGCAGAACGTTTTACAGCTTAAGAAACATGTTCCCACAACCTTCATCTGCTGGCTCTTCCACCTCAGAAAAAAAACAGGCAGCTCCTTCTCCCCTTGTCCCTGAGGCCCAGGGAAGTCAGGGTCATGCTCGGGGTGAGGCCAGGAAGCAGGGCCAGGGCTGAAGCCTTGGCAACCATGGTGTTGGCTGCCTTCAAAGAGCAGGAAAGAAATGCACCAAGAAGCCGTACTTCACCACTCAGGTGGCTACTGCAGAAGGAGCCTACTGCGCTCGCAGCTCGCAGCTCGCAGCTCGCAGCGGGAGGTTGCACAGCCAGCCCAAGGGGATTTCTGGCAAGAAGCAAGGCAGGGTGCAGCTGGAGAAATCATTAAGTGCCAAGAGGCAAGAATGAGACCAGAAGGTTGTGAGTAGGGAGTCAACAAGTTGCTCTGAGGGGCTGAGATATATAAGGGACACAAGGGAATCAGTGGAGACACTGGGTGGCAGAGGAAGGATCAGGGATTGTCGCAGTGAAGTGTGGTTAGGTGGCAGATGGCCACCAGGGCCCGGCAAAACATTCAGGCCTCGGGCCAGGCCCCACGCCACCGGGAGCGCTGTCAGTTCTTGAATACACAGGATGCAGTGCTGAATTTTGTATCGACTTTCAATACAAATCTATTGTTGGGTGACAAAGGGAGGGACAGTTGCCAGGCAAGGCTCTGAAAAGCCTTATTATGGGAGGGGGTGTGGACACAGAATCATTGTGACCAGATGACCAAAGCTATTTCTTTCTTTCTCTCTCACAGGTCATAAGGTAAGAAAATTTCCCTAGCTTCTCCCTTTCTTCCCAAATGCCATGTTCTCCAGACCTCCTGCTTCCCTCCTAGACCCCCCAGTTGCCTCAAAAGAAAAAGCAAGAGCAGAATTAGGCAGCAGCCTTGTGAGGGGGGCATCAATGCATTCATCGAGCTCTGCCTGCCGGGCCCTCTCCTTGGCTTCTGTCCTCTGTTTTCCCATCTGTCTCTCTCCTTCCTCACTTCCCCGCTCCAGCAGCCCATCCTCTCCTGCTGTTTCCCCGCCTGTTCTGTTCCTGGTTGCTACCCCCACAGCCTTGCTGGATGCTTGGCTTGCTCCCAAGTCCTAACCACACTGCCGGCCCCTAGGACAGACTCCTGCCATGGAGGGGTGCCCTCCCTTCCCATCAGCTACCACAGCCCACTGGTTCCCGGGCTTCCCTACCAAAAAAAAGCCATAGAAGGAGAGGCAGGAAGTGGCTGAATGGGGCAGGGACTGCTCTACCGTGGTCAAAGGAACCCCCAATCCTGGAGCCATGTCTTCTACACTTGTACCAAACCCTTATGGAGACCTGGGACACAAAGCAGAATGGGGAGCTATTGCACCCCTCCTCCACAGGGCCCCGGGGCTCCAGTACAGAGGCAGGATGGTGTCTCCTTTTCCCTGAGCCTGTGGCAAGAGACAAGAAATTCCCTTGCCTTTGGGGTTTGAGGACTGATTCTAGTCAAGACAAGTTAGACCATACAGATCCTCAGGTTCATAAGTGTGATGATTGGGTGCTCATGCTCCATGCATGACATGTGCCTCCTTTGAACCTTGTTACGACCTCGGCACATTACCCATCTGACGTGAAAAAAAAAAAAAGTTAGACCATACAATTCCAAGACCTCCTCTGAGGGGTAAAACTTGGACTCTGTTTTCTATTCTTCCTGATTCCTTGGGTCTTATATCTGCTGGAGGGAGAGACTCACAGTACATCCATCATCATATATACAAAACCATGCATGTATGTGAGTACTCAGCAGGTGTTTATAAGCATCCACCTATGTGCAGGTACCAAATACAGCCATATGTATATAAATGCACCCACTACATAGCAGGGAACAGGCCCTCTTTGCCTTCTACCTCCTACCCTTGGTCTCCTTCACACTGGCCTAGCACTTCCCTACCCCTAGTCCTCAGGGAGCTCATCCCTGCTCCTAAGTTCAATTAAGCCTGTAGGTCTAGCCTGGCAAAGCTTCTCATCACTCTGCAAGAGTTCCTGGGTGAGAAAAGGGGGAAGATGGGGTAATTCTGCTTCTTAATTACATGTAATTGGTCCAAGACTAGAAGTCATGGCTTAGTTCTAGGAACTAGAACAAATAAATCGAGATTCCTCCCCTTTTGTCTGCTTAGTGCTCAAATGGCTTCAAGGTAAAAGGACCAAGGCCAAGAGTAGTCACTTGCTACCCCTTCCATTACATTTACTACCCCAGCCCTTCACTACAACCCTACACTGGTACCCAAGACTCCTAAGTCCACTGGGTGGTTGGGTGAAGAGGAGTTGACTGCAGGTGAAACTGGTACTGACCTCAGACTCTGATATTGCTCATCTCTCTTTCCACAGGGGCACTGCCATGGCGGTCATCCTCCCCCTCCCCCTCCTGGTCATGTGTACCCCCCTGGCCATTGTCCTGGGGGGCCCCACCCACCAGGACATGGTGGACATCCCCATGGCCATGGTCCAGGGCACTGTCCTGGGGGACCCCACCCACCAGGACATGGTGGACATCCCCACGGCCACGGCCACGGCCACGGCCACGGCCACGGCCATGGCCACGGCCACGGCCATGGCCACTGCCATGGTCCACATCATTGAGGAATAAGAAGAAAATAAGACACAAGAAAAACCTGAGTGGGCTGCCCTGCCGACCTGCCATGGAACTTGAGCCAACATCTTATCTTCCTACTAAACAGCCTCCTGAAAGCAATCTATTCTAAGTGCCTTCTTTCACACTCAATTCAGGGACCCAGTTATCTCTGAGTTCCTCTGCTATGAATCCAACCTGGCATTCTCAGAAGCTGCCTCAGTGGTACCTGAAGCATATGGCCGGATAAGGCCACCTTCCTCATTTCTGCCTTTCCCATCAAAAGGCCTCAAATGAAGTCCAGTCACCACTGCCCCATCCTATGCACCCTCAGATCTAGTGGCCCTTTTGAGGTTCAAATTCATTTTACAATCCAAAGATGTCAATGGCTTCCTACCACACCTGGATTTCTTAACCATTCCCTGAAAATACATTGATGTTTCCAACCTCTTTAACTTACTTTGCAGTACTTCATCTCCTGCCTCAGGTCAGGGAATACCCTGTCTCTACTACCTCCATCTTCCAAGCCCACTGAAGCCTCCTCACCTCTAGGCTTTCCCTGAAGCCTGTTAGGAAGAGCGGTCTTTCTCTCTGTCCACTGCACCTTTTCTGCCACAAGCTACATACAAGAGATGGTATCAGTCGATCTCAAGAGACTCATCTCACCCTGCCCAGATGGCACCAATTTATGGGCTGGCTCTTTATCTCTCCAAACCGAACTGTAAGCTATGCAGGATACTTGTACACCACTAGGTTTCCCAACCTGTCATAACCCTGTCAGTTATGTCTTGCATAGACGGGCACTGGCACACACTGAAGGGATATCTACAATTCAAACCTTGGTTCTCACTCCCCAGTCCTGTTTTCAGTCAAGGCACCTTCATGCCTGCGCAGTCACACCTTAAACGGCCTGCTTTCTGCCAGTCCAAATCCACATCCGGGACACTCGCAGCTCCCAGGCTTCTCACAAGGCTGATATTCATTCCAGTTCCCTGCTGCCCTCTAGTCAGGCCGGTTTGCGGCCGTCCCTGTCGAAGCACTCTGCTGGTGTCACCCTCACAGCTGTTCCCTGAAGGGAGAGCCAGCAGGTGTCCCGCAGTGCGCGGCGCGCAGGTCCGTCTCAGGCTGAGGTGGGAGCAGTGGCTCGGAGACGCGGGCTGGGCCTTCCCCCTCTGCCCGCCCCCCGCATCCCTGTCTCCTTCCCTCCTCCCCTTATTGCGCACTTCAATAACCGAGCGGCAGCTCCACCACGGAGGGCCGCAGAACCAGGACAAACGGACAGGAAGACAAGACCCATCTTGAACAGAGAGCCAACTCCCCGGGGAAGAATGGAGGGGGCTAAGAGGAGCCGGGAGAACCGCGGGAGCCAGAGCCCCCAGCATCAGCTCCCTTCAGCGCCCCACACCCGCAGCCATGCTGACCACGAGCCCCCCACCCAGTGCGGTGGAGCCTAGGGAAGCTTCAGGCTCCGCCCACCACAGCTTCATGCTCATTGGCTGAGTTTCCCGTAGGCCCCGCCCAGCGACAAGCCGCTGGCGGTGACGCATGCGCACGAGCCTGCCTCTGCCACTGCTTCAGCACCAGAGCTCGGACAGCGGCGCCGCCCACGGGCATGGACGGTGGTAGTAGCCGCAACTGCTGCAGCAATCCGTCTTCTGGCCTGCGTCCGAAAGGGGAGCTACGGCCCAAGTGTGATGTTTTAGGCTTGAACGGCAGCTCCCTAGACAGGTAGGGAGGACCTCACTGCAGAGCCGGTTCGCAGATCTTCTCAGGACCCCTGCTCCAGGTATCCTCAGTGGTCGCCATCTATCATACCATTCATCTCCACCCCTTCCCAGACCTTTTTCCCGGGCGGGGGGCGGGGATGGTCAGCCAGCCCTCATCCTGCCTGGGTAATTTTCTTGCTCCTTGATACCCCCTAGTGTCAGCCCCTGTCGCCCTCGCCGCCTGGAGACCTGCCCCTCCCCTCGATCCTATCTTTTCCTCTAGGACTGCGGTTTCCCCCTTCCCTGGCCTCAGGAGCCCCTCCCTGTAGGTCCTGCCTCTGTGTTGTCTTCGCAGAAGGCCCCAAACCGCAGCGACGTCAGTCTGGGCCAGCGTGTCACTGTGCAAGGGGGTGCGCATGGGCCATGGACCAAGAGCCAAGGCAGGAGTCCTGGGGGAGGGCAGACATTCAGCAGCTACATCAGGACTGTCTTTATCCATCACTCTCTTGTTTTCCTTTCCATCACCATCGCTCGCTTGCCTGCTCTGCATGGTCCCAACTGTGCACGTATTCGTGTGAGTCAGTGTGGCAGCCACTGACACTGGAGCAGCTATCATGGGCAGGCTCTGAGGCTTAGCAGGGGTGTGAATGACCCTTGAAAGAGCTTCAGACTGTGGGACCCGAAAGACACCTTTCTTCTGAAGGTCCATCTCCAGATCCAAGTGCCTGTCCTCTTCCTTCTTCCACCATATATGTGACGAACAGCCCAGCCAGGTAGCAAGATGGCGCAATTTCTGTGCCCTGCCTGGCTCTGCTGTCTCCAGAGTCTCTCCCCAACACGGTCTTTCTGTTCTGTCTGAGCTGAAAGCAAAGATATGCTTTAGGGCAAAAAAGCAGGGACAGACACATTATGTCTCAATCTCCCCAGTTGAAACGTATATTTTGTACCTCAGAGGAAAGAGAAAGACCCACAAGTACAAATGGTTTCTTCCATCTATTGCTAATACATCAGTCTGGAAGGCATAGAACCTTCTTATTTGGTAGGATATGACACAAAATGAGTATGTTCTCCATACCAGGAGCCTAACTGAAACTACAGCCAAACTAAAAGAGCCAGGGCATAGTTGGGCCCCAGAGTCAGGGACATCTGCAGAAGGAGCTGGGGAGTCATTTTCTGTCTGGTGTATCTTGCCAAGCATCAGCCCTGTCTGGTCTACTTATTTCCCCTGAGCACAGGAACCACTTGTTCTGTTCTAGCAATTTCCTAGGAACTCTGGCCTCTCTCTGCCCTTCCTCCAAAGACCATGTATATTATGCAGACTTAGCAACACAGTTCAGTTCAATTCAAGGAATACAGATATGCTCCTGATGAGTTAAGTAGCACTCTGGGAATATATAACCAGTGAACAGAGAGAGAGAGAGAGAGAGAGAGAGAGAGAGAGACGCAGATTCAGACGCAGATGCAGATGCAGACGCAGACACAGATGCAGACGCAGACGCAGACACAGACACAAAAGGAAGCAGTCTTCTTTTTCTTGTAATAGGGATTGAACCCAGGGCTGGTACATGTAAAGCACATGCACCCTAATACAGAGTTACATCCCATCCTACCCCCACCCCACCCCAATTGTGTTTTATTTTTTGAGCCAGGTTCTTACTTTGCTGTCAAGGCTGGCCTCAAACTCTTGGGCTCACACAATACTCTTGCCTCAGCCTCCCCAGGGGCTGGAGTTACAGGCAACAAAACATTGGACCCAGCCACTCTATCATCTTGTGCAAGTGCATTGATTATAAAGAAATTTGAACTGTTTAATCCTTTTTTCAGTATTGAACCATAGGCCCACCCCACCCCCACCCCCCACCCCCCTTTTAAAGACAGGGTCTCACACTAAGCTGCTAAATTGTCCAGGCTGGGGTCAAACTTGACATCTTCCTGCCTCAGCCTCCCAGAGTGCTACCATGCCCAGATGAGATAGTTAACTCTGTGTTTTTCAAATTACCTCTTTAATTTTATAATGGTATAAGCTGCTCCTCATTTGTCCTTACCACTCTTTGGGATTATACTGATGTCCAGATGACTGAGATTTGTGGGCTTGGAGCACAGGGTTAATGTACATACACACTTGTGGCACTCCCAAGTTTGTGACCCTATCAGCCAGCCCCTGATTGAAGAGATGTTGGCCTCCTATGAGCCCAGTGTCACCACTTTACATCCTCCTCCTTGCCTGCCTGCCTCTGTCACTTTACAGGCCAGTGAGCCAGGTGGGCATCCCAGGAAGACACTCATCCTAGCAGGGTCATAAAATTGACAGCGTAAAAACAAACCCCCCATGGGGAACGGAGGACTGGAAAGCTTAACTCCTTAGCTGAGTCTCCTGAGAGCAGAGGGCAGTATAGGCCTGGCAGAAAAAAATTTTTTTATTCTGAAAAGAGTGGAGTTTGGCTCTTTTCATTGGGAGAATTCAGACAAAGGCCAGCTTTACCTCCGTCAGGATTGGGAGGAGGAGGTCATCAAATTCTGCCACACTGGTAAAGGCAGGAAAGGTAAGACGGGAAGAAGCTGGACCCCTGGAGAGAACAGAAGGGGCTGAAGGGCAGAAGTGAGGTTAGGCAGACCTGACAGGAGCAAACCAATGGATGAAGCCAAATCCTTCTATTTATTTTGTTTGTTTTCTGAGACAGGGTCTCACCATGTAGTGTAGGCTGGCCTTGAAACTTGGCCATCCTCCTGCCTCGGACCCTCAAGTACTGGGATTACAGGTATCTACCACATGCCTGGCTCATCAAAATCCCTTTAGAAATAAGGCAGGGCAGAAGTTTAGGAGGGTTACCAGGGAGGGGCCCACTTTCCTCTAGCACCCCTGGTATGTTGGCCTCCTCAGATGCCACTGATACCTCAAATGGGGGCATGGCTCTTCGGATAAGCCCAGTGTTTGGTGCTCTAAGAACTCACAATGGAATGGCCACAGTAGGCCTCTCTCCTCCACCTGGGCTGACCCTGGCAACCATGGTTTATGGATCTTTGGGCCTTTAGGACCCACCCAGATTGAGCACAGTGCTGAGAACGTGACACTGCTATAAAAATAAAATAAAATATCCTCACTTCTACACATAATCAGGCCACTCATCCAGCTTCTCTCAGCCCACAGAACTTGGCCTTCAGTGGCCTTTTAGCTGCCAGAACCCTGATTGCTTAAGTCATTAGCTTTATGGAGTCATCTGAGGTCTTGCTTTAGAACAAATTTGGTCTAGTTCCTAATTTTCTAAATGTTCAGTTAGTAAAACATAAGTATTTAAATCATGAGATCAAATTTCAGTGCCACTTGTAGATGACAAAAGTACTTATAACTATATATGCAGTGAGATTCTCAAGGAATAAGTTCTGAATTGGAGCTATTACCTGAGATGCCCAAGGAAGACAAACTGTAAATACGAATACGGTTTTTAAAGTGCATACTCCCTGCAGTAGTGAGTGTAAGTAAAATCAGGAAGGCAAATGTGTCTCCCAATGCCAAGCTCCATGCCAGGCACCTCACATATTTTACATCACATGTCAAAACTGAGACGTGAGTCTGCCATGGTGCACATGCCTGTAATGCCATCTACTTGGGAGCTGAAGCAGCAGTATCACAAGTTCCAGGTCAGCCCAGGCAACTTAGCAAGATCCTGTCTCAAAAGTAAAAGAATACAGAGGGTTGAGGATATTGCACTGCCTGGGTTCAGTCCCCAGGAGAGACAGAGATAGAGACAGACAGAGACAGGCAGGAGACAAAGACAGAGAAACAGAGAGACACAGACAGACAGATAGAGTTAGAGTCAAAGAGTCAGAGAGAGATAGACAGAGGAGGAACAGAGAGACACCGAGACAGACAGAGACAGAGACAAAGAGAGAAACAGAGGAGAGACAGAGAACAAACAACAAACAACAACTGTGAGAGGCAGGCCAGGTGTGGTGGCGCACATCTATAATCTCAGCACTCAGGAGGCTGAGGCAGGTGGATCACAGGGAGCTCCAGGCCAGCCTGGTTACACAATGAGACCCTATCTCTAGTAAATAATAATAATGAAGCAAAAAAAAAAAAAAACCTATGAGTAGTAGACATTATCATCATATCTGCAGCAGATGAGGATCCCACTGATCCAATATTGTTAGTCTTTCCTAATGTCTAAAAGGTGACAGCTAAAAGGTGATGGAGCCAGAAGTCCCATTGACTGCCCCCTAGTTTTACCCTCAACATGAAGGTCCCTCCCAGATGCCTGGGCCAGCTGGTCATCTTCTGGAAGGAGATGCCAAGCCTACCTGTTTTTTCCAGTTCCCCTGCTTGGTCTGAGGGCAAACTCAGCCTCCCTAGATAATGCCTGCCTGTCCCTGTGGCTGGCTCCTGCTGGCCTATTGCTCTCAGCAGTACAACAGGTAGGACAGAAGCCAGGGCTAGCTCTGCATGGACCTTGCTTTTCCACAGGGTTTGGGCCAGTTCTAGAGGACTGGGAAGGCATAGAAGACAGGGCTCTACTAAATGCCCAGCCTTGGCAGTCAGTTCTTGGTCATCTTTTCCTGCCTGTGGGGTGGGACTGGACCCCAGAACAGGGCTAGGTCTATGCAGGGCATTGCCTTGAAGAATATTCTGGGAGAGAACTCACTGACTCCTTCCTATGCAACCCCTGCAAAGCGAACCTTCTGTGCCACACATGGCCCATGACAGGGTTTTTCTTTCTCAATAAACCAACGTCTCAGACTGACCACATCTCCCAACTATGGCAAGTGCTGCAGGGCAAGTGCTGGGTCTGTTCACCCCAGCACCGCTCTTAGCAGCAGCCCAGCACCGTGTGCATTCACTCCGCAGACATCTGGCTGCCTTCTGTGTGGGAGGCACCACTGGAGTCACTGGGATACAGAGATGAGCCATGCGCCCGGCCCCTCCCATTCTGCATGAGAGACAGGCAAGAAACACAGCTCGGTGCTTTATTATCCAGTCCCAACAAAGGCTACGAAGGATTCAGCGGGGTAACAGAATAGAGAGCTGGTGGATGATTCGAGAAAAGGTAGTGAAGGAAGACTTCTCTGAGAAGTAAAGCTGAATAGAAATCAAAGTCTAAACACACACACACACACACACACACACACACACACACACACCCAGGAGGCCAGGAATTTTTCTGGGGGAGGAGCAACCAGGCAGAGGGAAGAGAACAGGAGTGCTAAGATGGAACAAGAGTGCAGCAGGTGTTTAAAGATGTCTGTCAGTGGGGCTAGGGATTTAGCTCAGCAGCATAAGCGCCTGCCTTGCAAGCAGGCAGTCGTGAGTTCGATCCCTGGTACCGATAAAAAAACGAAAAAGACAAAAAAAAAAAAAAAAAAAAAAAAAGATGTCTGTCAAGAGAACAAACAGGCTATGCACAGTGGGGCACACCTATAATGCCAGCACTCTCGGAGGCTGAGGCAGGAAGATGACAAATTCCAGCCCATCCTGGGCAGTTCAGTAGCTAAGTGAGAACTTGTCTTGAAATAAAATACAGAAAAAGACCGGGGATATAGCTCAGTGCAAAAGCCCTGGGTTCAATCCCCATACTTAAAAAACAAAACAAAACAAACAACAAAAAAAGAGGAATCCAGCTGTAGCAGAAGGAACACAGGGCTACAGGTAAGAAGAACAAAGTTCAAGGGCCAGATCTTTACCTCTCACTCAACCTGTTTCCAAATTTATAATTCAGGGAAATACTTCCATGGGGGACTTTCATAAGAGTGATGAGACCATGTGTGCAAAAGCCTGTTTGCTGTCAAGCGGTGTCCACATGGCAGCCACTAACCATGCTTGTTAGGCACATAGGTGGGTGAGTAGATAAAAGAGTGAACCCCAAGAGTTGGCTGGGGATTCAGATCTGAGCCCTCCCCACCTCACCTCTCCTCTCCTCCAGGATTTGTAGTTACATAATCCCAGGACCCGTCTCCTTGTGCCTGTCTACTGGATGATTCTAGGGCCACCATCTCCACCTGTCTTTCCTGCCACCTCTCTCCTAGCCCCAGACCAAGGCCATGGCCCCTGAGGCGAGCCCAGAGAGAAGCTGCTCCCTCCACAGCTGCCCCCTGGAGGACCCTTCTGGCTCTTCAGGACCTGCACCGACATCCACCCTCCAGGCTCTAGATCCATCGGGCCCATTAGGCCCGGGTCATTTTGCCTATCCTCGAGCACCACAAGAATATCAAGAAGGTAGCTCGTTACTAGGGACTGGAGACCAGGCAGCTCTGTGCACCCATGGCTCTAATCGAAGCCCTTCCCCAGCCTCTTCCCAGCGTGATGGGGTCTGGAAGCCACCTTCTGTGCAGCGGCACGTGGTCAGCGTCAGGTAAGGGGAGCCCTGCATCCTGCCAGCTGCCCCTGGAAGGTAGAATGGGGCTTAAAAGCAGGCAGATTCCCGGGGCTTTGAACTCCTTTCTTAGGAGGCAGCACAGATGGCCCCTGCCGCTTCTGGAAGAAGCAGCCTTCCTAGGGTAAGAAGAGTTGGAATTTGGGAGTGGGGAAAGCTCTAAAAGAACTAATATCATCTTCTTCTATGTTCTTCCCCCTTTTTCTCACCCACACTGCCCCTAGCTCTACACACACACACACACACACACACACACACACAGGAGGACTCTAGCAAACAGATGTCTTTTCTTCTCTTCCACAGGCAGGAACGGGCCTTTCGGATGCCAAAGAGGTAGGCCAGGGCCTCGCCTGGACTCCTAAACTAGCTTCTCCTTGTATTCTCTGATTTACCCACTTCCTGGTGGATCCCGAGCTCCCCAGTCCCCTATAGCTCATCTGCCACCAACTCACAAGCTCCCTCCATCTTTCCCAGCTACTCCCAGCTGATTGCTGAGTGGCCGGTGGCCGTGCTGCTGGTGTGTCTGGCAGTCATCCTCCTCTGCATGCTGGCTGGACTGCTGGGGAGTCAGCTGCCTGATTTCTCCAATCCTTTACTGGTGAGGGGCCAAGGGGAAGTGGGGGTTCCCAGGCCTGGCCACTGCAACTCAGTTGGGGTGGGGCAGAGCTGGCCCAGCTAGGGGTACAGTAGCGGTAGTGGGCTCCTGACTTCCAGAGAACTGCAACAATGATCTAGAGGTCACATCCACAATCCAGGCGGGGATCAAAGGGCCATCACTAGGAAGATCCCCAGTGGAGAACTCCTCCTCTGCCCACCTGCTCTTCTCTGCCCTCCTCTATGCAGGGCTTCGAGCCTCGGGACACAGACATTGGACGGAAGCTAGAGGTCTGGAAAGCACTGCAGGCCCTCACGGGCCCCAAGAAGCTGCTTTCCCTTTCCCCAGACCTTGAGCCGAACAGGTAACAGGTTCACGTCTTTCTACTGAGGGTGGGAAAGGAGAAAGAACAAGGTTTCGAGGAGAGGGCATCGAATAACCTCCCAAGGCAGGTCAGAGGGGCCTGCAGGACTCCTCCTAAGGGTACACGGCACTTATACCCTCTCTATCTCAGCTCCAACTCCTTCGGCACTCTGAGCCCTGTAGCCTGGGGCAGGGCCCAGGAGAGCCTGGTTCGGGCACGCAGGATGGTGGAACCCATGGAAGACAAAGGGCAGGACAGCTTCTTCTGCGGCGCCCCTGGTAAGCTGCAGCCCCACCAGTGCTGCCCTCAGCAGTGGTCCCCACCCTACACAGTAAGATGGGCAGACAGAAAGGGAAGGAAGGCAGCCAGTCAGGGACGTTTAAGCCAAGGAGGCTGGGTCACAGCTGGGGGAAGAAACAGGGCTCAGTGCTCTAGCCAGGCAAGGTCGAGCTGGGAGGGGGTGGGATACAGAGGCAGGACCACACTCCTGGGAATCTGACTCTCAAAGATCCCAGGTAAACATCATCTCTTTGGTGGGCCCAGAACTTGGGGTCCACAGGCTGAATTCCAAGGGGGTGTATTGCAGATAAGAGCTATGCAAAGCTGGTGTTCGTGTCCACCTCAGGAGGCAGCCTGTGGAACTTGCATGCCATCCATTCCATGTGCCGGATGGAACAGGAGCAGGTGAGCTGGCTGGGGAGGTGCTGGAGGATTGTGGGAAACTGTATCTGCTCTCAAGGAAATACAGTCCCAAGCCAAACCGCCAGATATTGGCAGTCAGGACTGCCATGGTAGCCCAGGGAAGAGCAAAGTATTCCAGTCCTGCGGGAGGCTCTAGGTTTGGGTAGAAGACTCAGCTGCTTTTAGAAAATTCAGGCTTTCATAGCAGTTAGGGGCAAGAGAGCCCAATCAAGAGTCTAGGGATTTTCAAAAGGTCCTGGGTACTGGGTGTGGTGGTGCATGTTGGTAATTCCACTTACTCTGGAGCCTGAGACAGAATTGCAAACCTATGGCCAACCTGGGCAATTTAATGAGACCTTGTCTCAATAAAAATTAAAAAATAAATAGAGGAGGTTCAGAATGTAGCTCAGTGGTAGAGTACTTGCCTAGAATTCGTGATACCCTAGATTCAATCCGTAGGACCACAGTTTGATAAAATAAAATGGTCCTGAAAAAAGGACCTCAAAAGGTATTGAGGAGGCCCTTTCCCAGGGAGCTAAAAATTGAGCTTTAAAAGTCAGCCTTTAGCAACCTAAACAGGATCAATCCGATTATGCTAATTAGAAAACCACCTCCAATAACATCGGTATAAAGGGTTACTGCTAGAAAACAGTGTGAAAAACATGCCATAGCTGAAACACCCTGCTGAAACACAGCAGGATCTCTGAATTGTGTTCTAGGTCCTTAATTCCAGCACTCTCACACAGGAGGATCATAAATTCACGCCCCGCCTGAGTGATTTAAATCTTAGACCCTTTTTCAAAATAAAAAACAAAAAGGGCTGGGCATGTAATGAGTTTACAGCCAAGTCCAACCTGGACAATACAGCAAGGCCTTATCTAAAAAACAACAACAACAAAAACTGTTCTGGAATCAGAAATCTGAATTTAAAACCAGCTCTAAGGCTTCTTTGCTACATGACTTCTTAACCTCTCAAGGCCTTAGTATTTAGAGGTGACTGTTTTGTTTTTGTGGTGCTGGAGATTAAACTCAAGGCCTCATACTGCTAAGCATTTGCTCTACCCCCGAGCCACACTCCCAGCCTCTATGTATGGTAAACAGGGACAACAACAGTACCTCTTTCGTAAGAATGGGGTGACAATCAAACAAAGTGGAAATTTAGAAAACATAGCATACTGACTGGCCAAATAATGATGATTAGATAAACATGATCATTGCTGTTACTGTGATCTCAGGCCCAAGCCACATAGCAGTTAGGGGCAGAGCAGGTCCCCTGACTCCCAGGCACTACACCAGAAGTTGTGACATCAACAGCAGGATGGGAGAGGAGAGGACTCACATAGTCTGAAAAAGAAACAGCCCAGCCCCTAAGAGGCTGTAAGCAGCCCAGGGAGAAGGACAGGTGGCTGAGGTTCCACAGTGACCTTGATCCTGGAGTGTTCTGACCTCTTACTTTTCCCATTGTTTGCTTCCAGCTCCCTGGCCGGGTGGCCTTGTTCCATAGCTGTCAGCTCTACTCCCTCTCCTTCCTCCGCCCTCAGTCAGTACACAGCTGGGGTGCATGTCCTGTAGAAGCCTAGGGCAAAGCCTCTCAGGCTGAGTGAGGCCTTGGGCAGCACTTCTGAGGCTCCTTTTTGGTGGAGCTGAGATGTAGCTGCTGGCACTTGGATGGGGAGCCATGGGCAGTGCTGAGAGCAGCCAGTTGTGCTGGGCTGTCAGGATGCTGCTTAGTCCCTGTCTTGCAGCCTGAAAAGAGGATAGGGCTGGGAAGCCTAGGACAGGGCTCTGGACTGCCCCTGAGCTCTCTCCTGCCATGTGCCCTACAGATCCGCTCCCACCCCCGCTTTGGGGCTGTGTGCCAGCGTACAGCAACCAATGAGTGCTGCCCCAGCTGGTCCCTGGGCAACTACCTGGCTGTGCTCTCCAATCGCTCCTCCTGCCTGGACACCACCCCAGGAGATGCAGCCCGTGTGCTGGCCCTGCTTCGGTCTTGCGCCCCCTACTACCATCGCGGCGTCCTGGTACCCTCTTGTCTGGGACCTGGGCAGAACAAGTCTCCACACTGTGCCCAAGTTCCCACTAAGTGCTCCCGGAGCAGTGCCGTCTACCAACTCTTGCATTTTATGCTAGACAGGGACTTTCTCAGCCCCCAGACTGCCGACTACCAAGTGCCCTCCCTCAAATTCAGCCTGCTCTTCTTGCCCACCGTGAAGGGGCCTTCCATGATGGACATCTACTTGGATGGCCTAGCTGAGCCCCGGCTAGTTTCTGACAACTACACATCCATCAGCGGCATGGACCTGGGCATCAAGCAGGAGCTGCTGAAGCACTACCTGGCCCTGGACACAATGTACCCGCTGCTTGCGCTGGCTGCCATCTTCTTCAGCATCACACTCTACCTGCGTTCGCTCTTCATCACCATCATGGTGTTGGTGGGCGTGCTGGGCTCTCTCCTGGTGGCCTTCTTTCTCTACCACGTGGTCTTCCGCATGGCCTACTTTCCCTTCGTTAACCTGGCAGCCGTGGTCCTGCTCAGCGGCGTCTGCGTTAACCACACCCTCATTTTTTTCGACCTGTGGCGCCTCAGCAAGAGCCAGGTGCCCTCCGGGGGGTTGGCACAGCGCGTGGCCCGCACCATGCACCACTTCGGCTACCTGGTGCTGGTATCTGGCCTCACCACCGGCGCCGCCTTCTACGGCAGCTACCTGAGCCGCTTGCCCACGGTGCGCTGCTTCGCTATCTTCATGGGCACGGCAGTGCTGGTGCACATGGCGCTCACACTGGCTTGGCTGCCAGCCTCTGCCGTGCTGCAGGAGCGCTACCTGGCGCGGGGCTGCGTGCCCAGGGCGCAGGGCCCGCGCGGTGGCAGCGACCCCTGGCGGCTATTGCTGGCGGTGCACCGGCGGCTGCGTGGTTTCCGCAGGGCCGCCGCCATCCTCTCTCGCTTGCTCTTCCAGCGCCTGCTGCCCTGTGGCGTCATCAAATTTCGCTACATCTGGATCTGCTCGTTCGCCGCGCTGGCGGCAGGGGGCGCCTACATCGGTGGCGTCAGCCCGCGCCTGCAGCTGCCTATCCTGCTGCCGGCTGGCGGGCAGGTCTTCCGGCCCAGTCACCCATTCGAGCGCTTCGACGCCGAGTACCGCCAGCAGTTCCTGTTCGAGCAGCTGCCTGCGGATGAGGGGGGACACTTGCCGGTGGTCCTGGTGTGGGGGGTGCTGCCGGTAGACACAAGCGATCCGCTGGACCCGCGCAGCAACAGCTCCTTGGTGAGCGACCCCGACTTCATGCCCAGCAGCCCTGAAGCCCAGCAGTGGCTGCTGTCCCTGTGTCACGGAGCCCGCAATCAGAGCTTCTTTGGCTCGCAGCCACAGGGCTGGCCCACGCTGTGCTTCGTGGAGGCTCTGCAGCAGTGGATGGAGAGGCCGGCCTGTGCCCGCCAGGGGGCCGACCTCTGCTGCGGCCAGGCCGATTTCCCCTGGGCCCCAGAACTTTTTCTGCACTGCCTCAAGATGATGGCCCTGGAGCAAGGTCCCGATGGCACCCGCGACCTTGGACTCCGCTTTAATACCCACGGTAATCTGGCTGCACTGGTTCTGCAGTTCCAGACCAACTTTCCCTATAGTCCTGACTATGGCCAAATCCACCACTTCTACACCGAGGTCAGCCGCTGGCTGGCAGCTGAGCTGGGCAGGGCCCCTCCAGGCCTTCGCCAAGGGTGGTTCACCAGCCGTCTGGAGCTGTACAGTCTACAGCACAGCCTGAGCACCGAGCCTGCTGTGGTGCTAGGCCTGGCTCTGGCTCTGGCCTTTGCCACACTACTGCTGGGCACCTGGAATGTCCCCCTCAGCCTGTTCTCTGTGGCAGCTGTGGCAGGCACCGTGCTGCTCACCGTGGGACTCCTTGTTCTGCTTGAGTGGCAGCTCAACACTGCCGAGGCCCTCTTTCTGTCTGCCTCTGTGGGCCTCTCTGTGGACTTCACTGTCAACTACTGCATCTCCTACCACCTGTGCCCACACCCAGACCGCCTGAGCCGCGTGGCCTTCTCCCTGCGTCAGACTAGCCGCGCCACAGCAGTGGGGACAGTGGCCCTATTTGCATCTGGTGTGCTCATGCTTCCTGCGACGGTGCTGCTATATCGAAAGCTGGGCATCATACTCATGATGGTCAAGTTCGTCAGCTGTGGCTTTGCCAGCTTCTTCTTCCAGTCCCTGTGCTGTTTCTTTGGACCAGAGAAGAACTGTGGACAGATCCTCTGGCCCTGTGCACACCTGCCCTGGGATGCTGGAACTGAGGATCCTGAAGAGGAAAAGGCACGATCTGGGCCAGTGGCTCCTGGTACCTGCTCAGAGCATTATGAGCTTCAGCCACTGGCACGGCACCGGAGCCCCAGCTTTGATACCAGCACAGCCACCAGCAAGCTGTCCCACCGGCCCTCAGTCCTCTCAGAGGATCTGCAGCTGCATGATGGTAACTGCTGTGCTCGGCCTCCCATTGCCCCAGCGTCCCCGAGGGATCTGCTCCTGGATCACCAGGCAGTCTTCAGCCAATGCCCAGCTCTGCAGACCTCCTCCCCCTACAAGCAGTCTTGCCCCAACCCCAAAACCTGGGTCAACCAGAACTCCCAAGGACAGGAGGCCGAACCCCTGCAGGCTTTACCCGAAGTTCCAGCCCATTCCCCTAAGCCTCAGGCTGAAGAGCTTCCTGATGGCCTATCTTCCTCAGCCAGCACCCTGGAGGGACTCAGCGTCTCTGATGACACCTGCCTAAGCACCTCGGAACCCAGCGCACGTGTACCAGATTCCATGGGCGCCTCCCCAGAAGATCTGGATGACATTGGGAAGCCAGTTCCTGAACGGGGCCAGCTGAATGGGAAGCGTGACACTCTGTGGCTGGCGCTGAAGGAAACCGTGTACGACCCAACACTGCCCAACTCCCACCAGAGCACCTCCTCCTGGAAGGGCCGTGGGGGCCCAGATGGTAGCCCTGTGGTACTGCCCAACAGCCAGCCAGATCTCCCAGATGTTTGGCTCCGCAGGCCGAGCACCCACACCTCAGGCTACAGTAGCTGAGGGAGGCCAGACCTGGGTGCAGAACCCTGTCGGTGATGATAAGGCAGGGGCAGCACCGCCTGGAGCCTGAAGGTATTTCCCCGAATCAACATGGAGAAGCCTCGCCCTCCAACTGTGAATTTAAGACCCTGCCAGAAGTTCCAGCCTTGATCTGTCTGCTACTTGCCCCTTACATCTGGAGGATTCAATGGGGAGAGCTTTTGGAAGGAACACCAGGGCTTGCCTGCCCCCATGGTGCCAACAAGGACCCCCTCCTCTGGGATGGGGGAGGCCAGATGTGCAGCTCCAGCCGTTAGGAAGGCTGACCTGACCCTATACACCTGGAAAGACGTTCAGTGACTGTAAGGTGCCCTGCCCTGGGATCCTGCCAGGGTACCTCGCTGACCAGAAGCACCCTCAGAACCTCTGCAGTCCCTTAGATCTCATCCCTCTCAGAATGCTTCTCGCTCTTCAGGGAGGATCTCTGGATCAGAATTGGGCTACAGCTTCGGTCCTGAATGGCCTTGTTCTGCTCACACTCAATGGTCTGACCAACAGTTCTTCAAGGCCGGCTGGCAGAAATGGCTGTGGGGAGAGAGGCAGGAGAAGGAGGATGGTCATCCTCACAGCATCCCAGAAGTGCAAGATCCCTCTTTGGAAGCAGGCTCCAGCGCTCTCCCCTGTTGATAAACAGGAATCATCTTTCCATCCATGCACCTGTTGGTCTCCTTGGACTCTCACTACTTCACTACAGGGTGACCTGCAGTTGGTCAGGTTCATTTACCCCCAATTTGCAGGTAAAGACATTGAGACTAAGACTGACTGATTTATCCAAAGTCATATCACCTGTCAAAGGCAGAGTAATTTCTTAGTCCATTCTACCACCGACATTCCAAGCTTTCCTCCTGGCTACCTTGATCCTTTGTTCCTCTCATCCTCCTCCTCCTTTGATGTGTCTTTGTGAATCCTGCCTCCTCTCTGGGCCTCTCTGTCCCTAGAGAGAGCTGTACTCTGAGCCGACCCTAGAGTTCTTTCCTGTTCTCCCCTTCTCTGTGCTTTCCTCTGGAATCCTCAGACATCTCCCCACCGTGGGGCAGTGGGACCGGTCTGACTCTCCAGCTCCCCCATGGTCACAGGATGTGGAGCGGTCCTGAGGGTGGAAAGATGGAGCAGAATCCAGTTAAGGTAGGAACTCAGACCTGCCCTTTGAGGGAGTGGTTCTGAAGTTGCTCCCCAAATCAGGTCCCCAGTTTCCTAAGGATGCGTCTCTCTGTGAGTTATTCAGCAGACTGAAACTTGGCTTTCCTTCCCTTACACAGTCTGTCCTGAAGTTCCTTCCATGCAGGAGCTGATGACACTAGGTAGCATCACAAAATTTGGCCTCACTGGGAAACTGAATGTGGAAGGAGAATCAAACGCCCACCCTCATAAGTACCTTCTGTTTGGGAAAACAGGTTATATGCACAGGCAGACATCGTTGGGCTCAGTACCTCCAAAAGAGGTGACAGAGGCTCCTGAAGCAGGAATGACTTTGAGGTAGGCAAAGGAAGACCAAGCATCTCAGACTAGAAGGGAGCAGCAGCAGGACCATCAGAGGTTCACACATGTTATAGCCTAAGGACCCTCCCTCCCAAGACCCTTGTGTGCAAGCCCAACATGTGCAACAGATAAGCTTGAGCTACTCTGATGGTGCAGGTGAGAGACAGCCAGCCCAGCCTCCCTTTCTACTGCAGCTCTCTGTGGGCTTTGCAGAACTCCTCAGACTCTGGCAGCCCGCAGGATGCAGCATGAAAACCACTGATTCGCTGATTATGAGAGAAGGAAAGGGATTTTTCCAGGGCCAGACAGTCTGGGGAAAAGGTGGAGGTAAATCAGACAGTGTTCTTGTTCTACTCTGTCCTGTTGAGACCTGCCTTCCACCCCAGTCTGTGCAAGGTGGAGCAGGACCCAAATGAAACAGATGTAAGAATTGTGAAGAGGGGTTGGGGACTTAGCTCAGTGACTTAAGTGCCACTGGCAAGTGCAAGGTCATTAGTTCGATCTCTGGCACCAAAAAAAAAAAAAAAAAAAAAAAAAGGGAAAGAGAGGTCAGTACAGTACAGTACTGCAGAGAAATGGTTCCACCAAAATCCAAGGATGCTCAAGTCCCTTGTGTATAATCGTGCATTTGCATATATCCTACACATATCCTCTCATATACTTTAAATTGTCTCTAGATTACTTATGATATGTAATATGATATATATGCTGTGTAAATCGTTGTTATACTGTACTGTGTTTAGGTAATTATGACAAGAAAAAAAGTCTGTATGTGTTCATGTCTGATGTGATTTTTTTTCTAATAATGATTTTGGTCTGCTGTTGATTCAGTCCACAGTTATAGAAGCCATGGTTGAAACGGAGAGTTGACCATATAAGTGGGCTCCTTGCAAGATAAGTAAATCAAGATGAGTAACTCCTGGTCAGGCAGGTGGCCCACACGTGAACTCCCAGCAACTCAGGAGGCTCATACAGCAGGATCACTTGAGCCCAGGAGTTTGGGTCCAGCATAAACAACATGATGAGACTTTGTTTCAAAATATAAAACAAAGTGGCTGGGGATTTAGCCCAGTGGCATAAGCACCTGCCTTGCAAGCAGGTAATCATGAGTTCGATCCCTGGTACTGATAAAAAGGAAAAAGACAAAATATAAGCAATAGAAAGTTATACAAAAACCCCTGATAAGCCAGGTGTGGTGGCATATGCCCGTGGCATATTCCAGCACTCAGGAGACTGAGGCAGGAGGATGGCCACAATTTTGAGACCAGCCTAAACTGAGCTACACAGCAAGACTGTGTCTAAGATGGAGGGGAATCCTGACACCAGGAAAACAAGAGAGTAACTAGGACCTAATTTGAACCTGTCCCCCTGAGAGTTTTGGTGTCCCTCTCCTGCCATACTGGGGTTGAACCTCCACTTTTGGAAAAAAAATTCTTTTTCGTTTTGTAACAGGGTCTCACTAAGTTGCTCAGGTTAGACTGGAACTTGCAGTCTTTCTGCCTTGGTCTCCCAGAGATACTGGGGTTATCACTCTTGCTGGGTCTCTTTTCTTTACATCTAAGCAGCATTCAGGCTCTCTGGCCTATGGTTGCTCATCAGAATCCTTGTTTCTCAATGACGCGTAACTGTCTCTCTTTTTTCCAACCGCCAGGCTGGATGGAGGCCCTGGGGATAATGAGCCTTGGGGAGGACAAAGTGACCCATCTTCCTTTTTGCATTTAATTTTGTTTGGTTTGATTTTTTTGAGACAAGCACTACATAGTTCAGGCTGGTCTTGAACTCACTATGTAGCCCAGGCTGGCCTCAGACTCACAGTGATCCTCCTGCCTCAGCCTCCCAAGTGCTGGGATTACAGGTGTGTACCAATGTGCCTGGCTAAGTGATTATCTTCCCAAATCTGAGCAGTATTGCCTTGGGCAGGGGTATAGGTACTGTGTGCTTAAAATGCACAAGTCCTAGAGTCCTCTGGCACCAGAAAAAGAAAAGGCAAGAAAAGAAAAAACAATTCTGCCTTGACTTGGAAGCAGATGCAGTCTCTCCTGAGCAGATCACATAGGTTCTTGCCCTCCATGTGAAGAGGACCAGGAGGTACACGAAGCCTAAAGAATCTGCTCCCTCTTTTGTGTCTTGCAAAGAGAGCTGCTGCTATCTGGGACTGGGGCTTCAAACACTGTCGTGAATAGTGCTCTGAAGTTTCAGTGTGTGGTGGCCTGCATGGATAAATGGGCCCTTCTAGGGGATTTCTAAGTCCCAGCCTTATAGGCCATTAACCACACAATCCTACAGACAGACAGAAGAGCCAGAACAGCTTATGTGTTGGCTGGATTTGTTCTTTATGTCACCAGCCCCAGAGGGCTGGAAGAACACTGCCATCACCCAAAATGATCTCTTTAGAGGTGGGTTTGTAGCCAGGTAGGTGGAGTGCTTGCCTAGCATGCCCTCAAGCCTTGGCTTTGATCATCAGAGCTACAAACAAATATCCTCTCACATCTAGAGTAGCCAAACCAACAGCAGGCAACACACACCAGCATGTAATCCAACCTACCATTTTAGCCTTGGTTTTGGGATGTAGGACTTAATGCATTTCCAGTTTGCTTTGTATTTAAACATTTATTTTTTTCGTTATTATTTTGGTAGCCCTGGATTTATGTAGCTTAGAAGCATCAAGCATGGTGTATGAAAACCATTCAAAGCATCCTTCAAAATTCAAGAAATAGTTTCTCTCAACTGAGACACTGGAAAATAGGACTACATTTACACTTATTTGGACTTGAGGTCATTTCTCCTGTGTGACATAGATCCGTGATATGGTGCTACCACTGAGTTATAACCACAGGCAAAAGAAAGGCTTCCCTGACTGGAATTGAACCTGGGCCACAGTAGAGAGAGTGCTCAACGATAAGCTTTATACCACCAAGGGACACCTTTAAATATAACTTGGCATAGCCAGGTGTAGTGGTGCATGCCTGGATTTGTTAAGCCAGAAATCCTACCAGGTGGGAGACAGGAAGGAGGATTGTGAGTTGGAAACCCGCATGCATTACGTAGTAAGACCCTGTCTCAAAAAGAGTAAAAGAACTTGGGAACTTGGTTACTTTGAGAAACCCATTTATCCCTGCGTGGGTGTGGTGCTTTGATGTTGGACTGGCAGAATCTTAGACTTTGCTGACGTGGCCTATCATACCATGTCCCAGTTTGAGCAGATATTGCAAGAGACGTTTTGCAAGGGATATACAAGGCAGACTTCTCCAGTCCCCTCCAACTCACCCCATTCTTTCCCCAATGCAGGAAAGGAAAAAAAATAGGTGAGGGCTCTCAGGAAAGGGGATAACAATTGTGGGTGTAGCTCAGTGGTAAAGTGCTTGCTTACCATGCATAAAGCTCAGGGTTTACTCCCCAGGCCAAAAAAGGGGAAGGGGAGATGCAGTTTCCAACTTCCCCTGTCCTCCAGAGAGGAAGGCCAGTCGTTTCTTCCATAGCAGCCTTGTTTTATCCTGGGATAACATGGCCGAGCAGTGGGGAGTACCGTGGCACTCCTGCATGAGCTCCACCTTAATTTTCCTGAAAACAGGAAGACCAGGCATCCATTAACCTTCCCACATTGCCCCTTTTCACAGGGATGACCGAAACTCAGAGTGTACAGGTGTTGATGTTTAAGGGAAGAAACCGCCTCAGTTCACAGGAAGATGTCAAACAGAAAACCACACCGTATACTATGTAAGTGTCTGCCTGTGAAGAAGAGCTGGAAAGACTTTGTTAAAACTTGTAATTATCAGGCCTGAGTGTGATGTTTCAACAAAGAGAAAAAAAAAATCTACATTTTGTCAAATTCACAGATACCAAAGCTTCAGTATTGACACATACAAAAAAATCACACCACTGAGCAAATGAATATAGATCTGTTTATTTTATTTTTCAATCAGATTTTATTGGCACATTTTAGATATACATAATGATCACATTCATCATAAAGAATTTGTACCTGTACAGGATATAACTTGAGTTTTTCCTCTGCCCTCCCTTCAGACCCACCTCTCCTCCTCATTTAGATTTATTTTAAATGTCGATTTGAATCTGTGACCACCAATTTCCCTGGAATTGAAGCCCTGCCTAGTTTCCATTCTTTTCTTGGGTGCTAGGAATTGAACCCAGGGCCTCGGTCATGGTAGGCAAGTGTTCAAGTGTTCTGCCACTGACAACATTCTACTTACCAGTTTCCATTCTTTGTTGTGACCATTTGCTTTTTCTCCATCTTTCTCAGACACCTTCCATCTCCCTGCCATTACACCCACTTTCAGTACAGAAAAATGTCATTCTTCACAAGGAAAACCCCAGCCCTCAGCTAGAAAGGTATCAAGTCTCTGACTTACCCCTGCCTGCTCCTCTTCCTGTGCCTTCTCTTGCAACAAAAGCAGCAGTCAGAGACCTTTCAACTAGAGCACACTCTCTCTCCACGGACTTTCTCCAAGAAACAGACTTAAACACAGACAGACCCAGATAGGGAGTCGTTTTCCCCAGCCAGCTCCAACCTGTCTTCCCACCTCCTGTTAATGGTCTGAGGCTCCTCCTGCCAGTCCCTTTCCAGACCTCTGCTTTCCCAGTTCTCAGTCCTGTTCCAAATCCTTCCACTGTGCTATAAAGACAAACTAACTAGCTGAGAATCCTTTGCATCAGGAAGTCCTTGAGGGAGCAAAGCATGGAAGAGCTTCTGGGAGAAGTTCCTATGTTTTCTCCCTTTAAGAATTCAATTTCAAGCCGGGGTAGTGGCCCACACCTATAAATCTCAGCACTAGAGGCTGAGGCAGGAGGATTGTAAATTCAAAGCCAGCTGGGCTACTTACCAAGTTCAAGGCTGTCTGGGACTACAGTGATACCCTGCCTCAAAACAAAGCAAAAAATTTAGTCCCAGGACTGGGATATAATTCAGTGAGGGAGCACTTAACTCACATGAAGAAAATTCAGTTTGGGGCTGGGGATTTAGCTCAGCAGCATAAGTGCCTGCCTTGCAAGCGCACCGTTGTGAGTATGATCCCTGGTATCGATAAAAAAAAAGAAAAAAGAAAAAATTCAGTTGGTGTGGTGGCACTCACCTGTAATCTCAGTGCTTGGGAAGCTGAGACAGGAGAATCGCTGTGAGTTTCTGGCCAGTCTGGGCTACACAGTGAGGTCAAGGCCAGCGTCAGCTACATAACGAGACCTAAAAGAGTTCTACACTAAAATGAATTACAGGACATTATGGCAGTGGTCTAACATGGCAGAAGGCCAAATCAGAAACGCTTACCCTGACAGCCACTTCCTCCTTTTTCCCCTTCAGCTTATTACAACTTCTTCCTTTCCCCATATGTGTGAAGAAAATTCCAGTCAGCTCCTTGCATGTCATAAATGCCCACCCCAACCGTCACATGTGGTCAAAGGTCACATACACCCCACCCCCATATCCAGTTGAAGGAGACAGCCCAACTGCCAGGGTTGTATGCTCCTTTCCACATCCTCAGTAAATGTGTTCTTTTCTTTTTTTACTTTTCACTTCTCTATTATGCCAGATAACCTCTTGTAATCCAAAAACAAGCCCCTTACACCCCCAACCTCGATTCCAAAAATGGGGCAAAACATTTTGTTTTTGTTTTTGTTTTTGTTGTCTTTTTCCTTTTTATTGGTAGCAGGGATCAAACTCACGACCGCACACTTACAAGGAAGGCACTTATGCCGCTGAGCTAAATCCCCAGCCCAAAGCATGTTTTTAAAAAGCAGCACTGATTTATTTTATCCTGGGCCCAGT